AAATATATTCAAAAGCAAAAATTCAAGTATTTTAGACTTTTTTTTTATAAATTCCACATCAAGAACATGAAATCTCCCATGATAATAGAAAATATGAATGATTTCAATAAACAATGAATGCCTTTCAAAATAACTTTTACAAAATATTTTCAAAGATGCTAATGGCTTTCCATATTTTTTAAGTCCAACTTAGAGATAAGTTCAACTTAGGATCTTTGTGAAACACCCCCCAGGTCTTTAAAGAAAAGAAAGCATTTCTGTTTGCACACGGGATATGTCGGATATGCTCTGGTGAGTGAGAACTACAGCTTCAAACCTTGAGCAAATCAGACGAAGAGCTGAAAATATTTATTGTTACGTAACTTTAGAGGAATACACCCCTTTTATTTTGGTGTAATGCGAGTATTGGCACAGAAGGACAGAGCGCAGCTGAGATAAACACCCTGTTTGGAAACAAAACTTTTACGCCACTTTATCTGCCATTTTCTTCGTGAACTTCTTATTCTCTATCTCGGAGAAGACTCGAATCTCAAGATGCGTCAGACCCTCATCATCCTTCTCGTCCTCGCAGTTATCGGGGCTGCCTTGGTCGATGCCGGGTCTGATTTTAAACGTCGTCGCATGACGCAGGCTACACGTCGTCGCATGACGCAGGCTACACGTCGTCGCATGTCGCAGGGTACCGTTGGGAAAGGAGGTGAGTAGAGAGAATGACACGTCATGTTTCTGGGGGAAAATTTCAATATTTAATCGTGATTGTGCAACTCGAGTCATAAATGTGCATAATTCTTGCAGTATATACAAATTCTCCTATCACAAACAAAATGTATACTAACATTTAGCGAGTTTTGTTATTACAGCCAGAAAATGGTCATGATAGTCACAATCATACTTTTGTGTAATATATCCCGCATGACAGCCATGTTTTATTACGTTTTGCAGTTGGCACAAACCCAATTGGTATAGGACTTCTTAATTTCTCTAAATTTTTATCTGAAAAAAAGGAGTGTCCTGTATTAAGCCCCATTCTCTCTTCCCGTTATATACATTTTGTGTGTGTGTGTGTTTTGTAGCTGTATACTTGTCATGGGTTAGGCAATATATTCCACCCACATCAATATAACCTCCTTTGTATTTATGCGTCTGATCCTCTTATCATATTAGAATGGAGGACTATTATGTTCTAATGAAACTTCAATGCTTTTTTGTATTTTGATCGAAGAGTATAGGGATCAGAGAGATTTTAAATCAGATTTTCAGATGAGAATAGCAAACTCAGTTGAGACATTTCAGAAAATGGAGATTTCTGGGTGTGGTCTCATGTCAAGGTTTTTACTAAAAATTTCCGTAACAGAACTAGATATGTTGTACACAGGGGTTGTTTAGAGTCATAAGTGTTTTATTTTGGGGATAATCATAAACTAGTTGATAAATAGAGTTACCGTCTCTTCCAAACGTTTAATCTGAAACTTTTGTTTCTTTTCTTTCCCGATTTCTTTTCTATCTTTTGTTTTCCTTTCTTTTCGTTTTCTTTACATTTTCTTTACATTTCTTTTCCCTTCTTTTCCCTTTTTTCCTTCTCGTTTCTTTTCGTTTCATTTCTTTTGTTTCTTTTCTTTTCCATTCATTTAATTTCCATTCTTTTCTTTTCCTTCTGCTTTCCTTTCTTAATTTTTTTTAAAAACCCCACAGAGAATGAAATCCCTCAACAACAGAAGCCGAATGGATATCTAGAGGGTCCAGGAAAAAACACAAAGAACGCGACAAGCTGGAAAGGAGAAGCTTTGAGAGTGAAAGAAGGTCGACAGACTCCAGAGGCCTAGCGTTGATCAGATGGTCAAGCTTCGGACCAAGATGGCCGTTGACCAAGCCAACTTGGGCTCCCAAATTAATTCCCATAATGACCGAGAGATGAAGTTCAACATAAAGAGGGCGTTTAAGAAGCTATCATAAACCTGTCTAGGAGTTACATTTGTTCCGCGGCTCTGTAAAAAAAAAAAAAAAAAAAAAAAAAAAATCAATTTATGACATTGAGAAGGTACGTTAAAAAAATAACAAACAAACATTCGTATTAGGGAAGACTGAGTAAAAATTGAATTTCTGGATATCATCATACATTTTGTTCCGATTTAAAGTTCAAGTTTATAATGTGAATGTAGGCAATGATATTATTATGTATAGTGTAGAACTTGGAATCAACCTGGAAAACTCGAAACCCGATGCTATTAAGAGCAGTACTAAATAGTTATTTGTAATAATACATTTTCGATGATACTTCAATAAATGTTCTCATTTTGAACACGATCTGAAGATCTGAGCGCTGTCTCCCCCCCCCCCCCCCCCCATTTTTTTAATTTTTTTTATTGTATCAAGAATGATCATTTTTCAGTGGATATGGATGGAAGGCGCAAGGGGGAACATTCATTTAGTTTGAGTAATTAGTTACCGTATGTATGTCTTTCGGCTGAAATGTTATTATCTGTAATGTGCTTCATTGCAGATAAGGGGGGGGGGTGGGTGTGGCTCAAAATTTCACCACAAGTTTTGCACATGTTTTTTCTTGTGCATGTATCGATTCAGCTCTTATACTTCAGTAGTTTTTTATTAAAATATTTGTTGGGATAATGTATTTTTATTGGAATGTAAACGTAAATCTCAAATAAAAATAAGTCAAATCTTGATCATCTTGTAATCGTGCCTTTGGTGATATGTTGATTGATGAGATAGACGAAGTAGAGCAGATAAACCAGGACAAAGAGATATGGAGGGGTAAGCAATTGCAAAATTAGTGACAGGGGAATAGAGAGAGGGGGAGAGAGAGAGGGGAGAGAGAGGGAGAGAGAGGGAGAGAGGGAGAGAGAGAGAGCGAGAGAGAGAGAGAGAGAGAGAGAATTATATAATATACATAAAACATGACTTTTTTTTTTGTAAGGGCGTCACGCACTTATGAGCAGTTTTTATATAATTATTATTTTTTTTCGATTTCTTCAATTGAAAGGACAAGAATGGAGGTAATCGAGCGCAAAGAATTAGGCACGACCCTATAGTCAGAGATAGGGATAGAAAGAGTGTTACAGAGAGAGGGGAAAGAGAGAGAAAAGGAGAGAGAGAAAAGGGGCAGAGAGAAAAAAGTGAGAGACATGAATGGGGGAGGAGATCGGTCTATACATTGACAGAGAGACTCTTTATGAAACACTCCCCTGGGCTTGGAAGAAAAAGCAGAGAGACTATAGACTATAGAGGCTCTGTCAAACTGAAGAAAAAAAATTCAGCACATATCATAAAGATCACATAATATACGGCCATGTACGGGCATGTCCCATGTACGTCCCACACGCTACCAATACATGTTATTGTAGAAATAAATTAGGATTAAAAATATATAATTTCATTGGATGTGGAGTCTGATTCAAGCTCAAGTATAGGGCCATCAGCTTGATACCTTTTCTCAGGTATTGGCTCACTGAAATCTTAGGTGTCGTCGGTAACGAACATCGGGGACAAAACAGCTTGGACTTGCCCTAGATTTGAAATGCAGAATAAAAATTTATTCAAATTCCTGTCCCTTTGAAAGATCAGTCGCCCCTTCCCAAATCATCCAAATTTGATTGATTTTCATATAACGCTGAACTCAACAACAGCAACAACAACCAAAAATCGTCTGAGAATATATGCAGCCTCACACGTTCCTGATTGGCTGAAAGTTCTTGACGTCATCATCACGCGCAAAGCCTGAAATACGTGCTAACCAATTTCCAGTAATATAGGGACAATTCACGTCAAGTGAACTTATTCTGATTATATCAGTGTACAGTGCGTCCCAGAAAAAACGAAACCGAGAATTATCAATGTTTTATCATGACTTAATCACATTTATAATTAGTAAATGATACATATTTAGAAAGCTTAGATCCTCTTCTTTCTTTTGATGCAACTCATATGATGCATATTTCACGCATATCTGAATTTCAAAAAGAAAATCACATTTCTAGAAAGTTGGGTTTCTGCCCTTTCATATGACACCTCAATCAGGAAAAATGAGCAAGGAACGACAAAGTTCTGTTTTTTTTAAGTAGCCCTTACATTTTCATAATTTTAGCAAAAATTTAATCAAAATAATGGAAATGCAAGCACTACTTTAAACAAACAGAACTTTGTTATTCCTAGCTCATTTTTCCTGATTAAGGTGTCATATGAAAGGGCAGAAACTCAACTTTCTAGAAATGTGATTTACTCATTGAAATTCAGATATCCACCAAACGACTTTTTGTTTTCCTCTCTTCAAATTGATTTTAATCACTCATGCGTGATATGCATTATGCAATATGGATTATATGAGTTGCATCAAATGAAAGAGGAGGGTGTAAGCTTTACAAATACGTGTCATTTATCAATTATAATTGTGATTAAGTTATGATAAAACATCGATAATTCTCGGTTTCGTTTTTTCTGGGACGCACTGTATAATTACGTTCAACATAGAGTTGCTATACCAAGGAGTATTTTTATCAAATGCGAAACTATAAAGTCTGATTCAAAAGCAATGGCAATACAATGGGTCTCGTCTTCTCTTTCAATGTTTACATTCCAATGCGTACTCTGAAATTTGCTCATTGGAAAAAATACGTGTACCGTAAAGCACACTCTGGGAGGTGTTTCACAAAGATCCTAAGTCGAACTTATCTCTAAGTTGGACTTAAAAGTTATGGAAAGCCATTAGCATCCTTGAAAATATTTTGTAAAAGTTATTTTAAAAGGCATAAAATGTTGATTCAAATCAATCGTATTTTCTATTATCATGGGAGATTTCATGTTCTTGATGTGGAATTTGTGGAAATTCTAAAATACTTGATTTTTTGCTTTTGAATATATTATATTTTAAGGCTACAAATGGCTCTCCATAATTGTTAAGTTCAACTTAGAGTTAAGTTCAACTTAGGATCTTTGTGAAACACCCCCCTGGTCTTTATAAAAAGGAAACATTTATGTTTGCAGACGCGGAACTGTGGGATAGGCTCTGGTGAGCTTCAAAACCTGGAACAAAAACGACGAAGAATCGAAAAGAGAAAAACACCCCTTTTGAGTAATGCGAGTATTCAATTTGGCACAGAAAGACAGGCCATTTGCAAAGCGAAGTTGAGATAAACAACGCGAAGCTTTTACGCCACTTTATCAGCCATTTTCTTCGTGAATTTCTTATTCTCTATCTCGGAGGAGACTCGAATCTCAAGATGCGTCAGACCCTCATCATCCTTCTCGTCCTCGCAGTCGTCGGGGCTGCCTTGGTCGATGCAAGCAAGGCTGATTTTCAACGTCGAGGCATGGAACAGTGGAAGGGGATTAGGGGCGGAATGGAGGTGAGTAGAGAATGACACGTCATTATTATGAGTGTGCAACTTGAGTCATGAGTATAGTGTGGTACGGTATGTCACTGAAACAGCTCTCGTAGGATTTTTGTGCCAAAGTTGATTTTTTTTGTTGTTGCTGTTTTGGCTCCAAAAGGGTCCCAATTGGCCAAAAATGATAGGGTGCAAATTTTCAAACCCCTCCTTCCTTTCCTGGGGTACCTAGACCGGGAGCCAGGGGGGGGGGGGGGGTCTACCTAGCTGGGAAGGAAACCAATTTTCATGTGCACAGATGTAAAGATCGCATAGCTCCACATAACAAATTGACCGTCTGGCATGTTCTAAGTGGTGGGTGTGGCCAGGGGGACGCCCCCACCCAAAAAGTGGCCCTTTTGACGACAAAATAGTATTATGTAAATAATATTTTAAGGAAACCTTGAACCACCATGAGTTTGGTGTCATATAAAAGAGAGTTAAATTAACTAAATTTTGATACCAATTTCAAAGAATTTGGGATTAATTAACATCGCAAATTTAAGTAAAAAGGCATGATTTTTGTGATTTTTTTCAAAAAATTGAATTTTATCGAAAAACATTATTTTCGATATATCAAAATCGGAGATTTGCATTTTTGCATAACTTTCCAGGAATTTGCTTATGTACAACGACAATATCCTGTGCGAGGGAGAGGTTTATATATCGTTTCAATAAAAAGTTATAGCAATCCAACGTTATTGATTTGATTTCCACAAAAACAACATTTTTGCCCACATGTATATTAACTGTAATGCATATACGTGCATTCGTGTATTAAGGACCTGTTTGGTGTGTTAACATCGAGCTTTTAAGATAACTTTGAACTAAAACCTCTAATCACCATGTATTTGGTGTCAAAAGATGGATATTTAGAATACCTGCATTCTGATATCAATTTCAATGAGTGATGTAGTGTGTGAAATATAAATTTTGAGCCAAAAAGGTGCTTTATTGTAGATATTCCTCTGATTTTTGCCTGTATATCGGTATATTAACTGGGCAAACATGATTAGACATTTAGTAGTGCAGAAAGTTCAAAGGATTTGGAGCGCTGAGTGCAATTCATCAGTTTCTTCTTCTGTACTCTGGGATGTTTTAGGCACTGGTTTTTTAACATATACCAAATGTGTCCACAATAGGGGCTGAAATGAAATCATGTTTACTCACTTCAAACATGTATTTTTAGGATCAGGACTATTCATATTTTTGAGAAATGCAAATTTTGGACCTTAATCTATCTTCTTATTTATTCACCAGATATGAATACTTTGAGTTTTTACAATTTTATTGTGAACTATAGCATATCTAATAGCTGTGATATAAAACTCATTTGCTATTAACTTTACCAACAAATATGTTGGTCTTTAAGAATATGTTTCAGAGATTATTCTTGCAAATTTTTGAGTTTCTATCTTGAAAAATACAGATTTTGTGTCCCTTGAAAGTGAAAAATAGCTCAGAACTAGGGTCTTGACAATAACAAGTTTTTATTTCAATAGGTAAAATGCTTTTTTCTTAGGTCAAACTTATTTTATTATAACAACTGATAATATAAGTTAAATACATCCCAAAAAATTGGGGAACCAGTGCATTGCCTAATAATTTTCATATGTCACACCACTGGTGTTTCGGACGTTACACACTGTTAACATCATAACTTTATTCAAGTTAATTGCTTTTCTTTAGGTATTATTGACCTAAGTTACATTAATTGTTTGCAGAAAAATATTTCTTTAACATTTATTGAAAAACTTGTGCAGTTTTAATTAGTTTTGCACATATACCTAGTTTGTCTTCATCGACTACTCAATTTATGTAAGGTAAACTATTCATTTCAGGAACGTGTAGTTAAAAATGCTTATGTGATCTAACAAAGTGAAATATGGAGCTAATAGCAATTGTAGTCATCACAACTCCTAGAAATTTCACTTTATACAAACATACTCTCTTTTGCAGGTTATGAACAACAGTGTACAATATATGCTATAGTTTGTTTCGGATGTTACAAGATGTGAACATTTCAATCAGATCATCAATTTCTTCAAACTTTACAACATAGATGTTTAATCGGCTTGCTTTGTACTTTGCCTTTAACTAGATTCATGTAGTGTGTCATTCAATAATATCACTATCACATACATGTACAGTGTGTACAGTGTAAGCAAAACATTACAAAAATACTTTTAACAAATAAAAGTATACAGAAGTATCCCCAGCCATTTAAGTAATAAGAAATATGGGAATCCTAATTCATTGTACATCCCGATATTTTTGCATAAATTTGAGGAAGTTACTATATCTTTAGGATCATGAAATGATCATCAACATGTACATTTTGTTATGAGGGTCAAGCATTTGAAAATTATTTGTACATAAGGCTAGTACATTTGAGGGTAATTCATCCAATGAAAGGAAAAAATTATGAATTAATTAATTTTGAAGAGGCTACACCTTATTTTCATGTTCATGCTTTAATTACCCCCACAAATTGGTAATCCATTTTCTTGTCATTTGGAAATTTGGCAGATCTACATCTATGTCAACATTATGTTGTACAAGTTTCTATAATTGGTATCGGATACTGATTACTGATTATTGTTTTATAATGGAAGCCTTTGTGCTCATCGATTGTACATGTATGCAACCAATGAGTGTGTCATGTAGTGTGCAAGCCAATTTCATAAATCTGCTTGATAAATTGTTATCATTATTAAGCGTAAATGCCAATTCCAGTTTTGGATAATGGCAGTAGCAATCCTTTCTACATAGATTAGTTACATGTACTGAGTGCCCTTTTAAAAATGTATTTTCAGATGAAAATACATATTTCTCATAAATTTTTAGAAAAACATTTTAATTTGCTTGATTTTATCAACTTCATATACCTGTATCATATCCATGTCATGACCATGCACACTGGGTATTGCTTAAGTGGGTGATTTTGATTTTTGTAACCTACCAGATAGTGTAAATTGACCATACAATCTTTGGTTATATGACATCATTTTGAACAACCTCTATAAAAATGAAAACCTCATGATTTGCAAACACACACCAATGTAAATAGCAAAAGGAGAGGTTGATCAAATGAAATTTGCTATTCTCACATCTATCATTGCCCCTCATTTGAACTAGTTAGAGTATTAAAATGTCTGTTAACAGTTTAATGTAACGTCCGAAACGTGCTAACAGCATACCAGAAAGTGCTGTTAAAGTGGCTGAATATTTGTTACGAGTCACTTTTGTTAAGATTTGTTCTGATAAATTACAATTAAGGATATACTGAAGCAGCCAGCCATGCCTTGCATCACAAAGTGTGGCTTCAATATTTTATGTTTTATAAGTCAATTTTGCAGAAAATTTAGATATTTTACGGATTATTTGATTTTTGGCATCATATTTCTACAAATTTTTATATTTAAATCTGAATAAAATCATCAAAATAGTGTTTTTAACAGGAGTGTCCATTGTGAAATGGTAACTTGCAGATATGATCGAAAATTAGGTGAAATTTGTCGACTTTGTGTTAACAATATAATTGTGTAACGTCCGAAACACCATTCTTGTGATTACAACAAATTAATGGATTTGAAAGACCTGATTTGTGTTTTGACTTGTGTTAAGACTTATAATAACTTATTTCATAATGATTTATTCACTCTAGATACCTTAAAATATGGATTATTATCATTTTATTGGTATTTTTTGTTTCGGACGTTACATTTGTTTCGGACGTTACAACTGTTAACGGAAAATTGGTTTTAACTATAAAATAGTATTGTAGTAATGTATTGCAAATTTCTTTGTTTTGGTGGGTAGCTGCCATGAGATGTTAACAAAATGTTATGATAGATATATCCTGCTGTTCATATATTTTCTGCTACTTCAACTTGAAAATTGTTTCGGACGTTACAAAACTGTTTACGGAAAATGAGACAACTTTTTCAAATTTTGAGTATATTTCTAATATAAGCGCTACTATAATTAAATTATATTTTCTTTTAATATAATCACTTGGAGCAATTAATAAACTCACTCAAACCATATACAATCTCATTAATTTGTTGTTTTAGTGGGTTAAATGAGGGTCTACATTGTTTACGGAAAATGTAACGTCCGAAACGCCATTTTCAATTGCACTTTTCTATTAAAATGGGGAGTTGATTCAGATTACTGTTAAGTTTCTTTAAGATCCACTCATGCTCATTAATAATCAATAGAAACAAAACATATTGTTTGTGGCTATATAAGTTTTTCAGCTCCGACCAAAATGGCATGTCAATTTTGTTACAAAATTCCGTAACTTACAATTTGCTGTTCAGGGATATCTCATGCGCATAAAGCAACGATGAAATTTTTTCGTTAAGCTATGGGAGGTTAACCTAGGTCCATGCTACAAGAAAAAGTTGTTACTGATTTCTAATTCTTTATCTTTGGAAAGTTTCAGGCTCTCAAAGGGCCATTTAGGTATTTGGTCATAGTTAAAAAAAAAACAGTGCCTTTAGGAAATGTGGACATTGGCAGTTGCCTCCCCCCTTCCAGTCGCTTGTCATAATCTTGTCCATGACCAAGAAAAGTTAGTGCATCGATCAACATGAATATAATATAATATCGCCATGTTTGGTTTAATGGTTTATTTTGCCTGCTACTAAGAAAACACGTGTATGCTTGAATGCAACCAATACTCTACATTATCCCTATTGTGATTAGATTAGAATGACATAAACTTTTCTCATAAAATAGTTTCGGCTAGGTATGCAAAGTTATTTTTCTCTGGATTTCAAGTAATTCAGTACAAAAATCGAAGGAACATCATGAAACTACTTGATTCGATTGAATCTCAGTTTAAGTCTTTGTGTGTTTCAAATAGGAAGTTCCACAAATAATTGAGATCAATTTGAAATCTTTTCTGCTTAGCCATGAATAATTTAAAATCGTTACTAACTCCTTGAACTTCTAAGGATCTCACGATTTGATGATTGGAAAATGTCATTAGGTACCAGCTTATAATTTTGATAACACGTCACCGTCTACATTAGAGTTCTATCATGCCCGTTGCATAAATCATATGGTCTTTCCAAACATAGAATAACATTTTTTTAAATCAGAATAAAATAAAATGCAAACTTGTCGTAGCTTGTTTCCTTTGAAACAACGTTCGACTTACAGTTCCACCATGCAGTGACACTGTCATAGACAATCTTTGATTACTTCTGTTTATTGAATTTTAATTGGGATGTGGGTAACAAGGAAAGAAGAAATTAAGTCAATGTGCTAATTGGGCTTAAAGGTAAAGACCAGTATTGGAAACGCCCCATATTTCAAAAAATGAAATGGAAGCTCTCATTACCAATCATGTGAAAGAATATGTTTTGACTAATACATGATGATAAAAAATTTGCCGGGAAACCGCCTACTAATTCATATATTTGGTAAATTTGTTTCTCTCATGGACTGTGAGAGATATAGGGTAGTCCCATATACATCTTTTTGTGTATAGTGCTTGTAACTTTACGAAGAATGGGCCAAATTTCTTATCATTTTGATGATTCCAGAACCTTGCAGATGCTAGATGCTAGATGATCAAACTTTTCTGATCGATAATTCTACAACGTTTCTTTCACAATGTAATCGCATGACCATAACTGGTCTTTACCTTTAACTTTTAAATCAGCAGTTTCTCAAGTGGAAATCTGCATGTAATACTCTGCAAGTTCAAGCTCGTAAATGTGCTACAACTGATCATTTCAAGCGTATTATGTACCATATATGATCCAACCCAAGTAGGCACAATATTTCTGGCAAATTATTTGGTACGTAAATGGACATAAATTATGCATGATATGGACTAACTCCAGGAAGCTCCGACGCCGGCGTCGGAGCTTCCTGGAGTTAGATATGGACATGTTTTAATATTGCTTTATTTGATCTCAGATGGATTTTTCCTTGATGTTGAAAACATTATGTGTTGCGTTGTGATATTGCCTTTAGAAATACAATTATTAAAGGCGTTGCATAAAGCATTCGGTTGGACATTGTTTTGTGAATTTTAATAACCCAATAACAATAATTACTGTACAGGCCTAGGAAAAGATAAATTGAGTTCGAAAAAGATCGTCATTGACTTTTACAGTGGCACAAGACTTAAGTTAAATCGTAGGGTATATAGCTCTTAATTGTTATCGTATTCATATCAGGAAGGAGGGCTGGGAAGGGACGTTTAAACCGAAGTACAATTTGCCTTTCACATAGTCCTGCAAGGTTTCTCTCAACAATCTATATCTAGCATCAAATAGGGCGTCTGGCAGTCACTCTTCACCATTTAAATTGTCTGGCAATGGCCATTTGTGTATCGTTGGCCTGTGGCGAATATTTTCATATAGGTTCCATTTGGGTTTCCTTTCAAGCTGATCTAGCTCAATATTGAGGTTGGGGTATTTTAGGGACATCTGACAGACACCCCCACCAGGCGCGCCGGAAGCAGTTTGGGATTGGGGGAAGGGGGCAAACATTCCAGGGGGGCTCACCTTTCAGGGGCAGTGGCGTAATGAGCAAAAACGTTTTTGGGGGGCAGAAGAAAAATCTGAACCACCACCACTCTTACACGTTACAAGCCGGCCCCGCGGAACGTTTTTCAAAGTGGAGTATTAACGTTCAGGTAGAGCGGAGCGAGTGCAGCGTAAATTGGCGGGGGGTCCAGAGTCTTTGCCCCGGCGGGGTCAAGGGGCGAAGCCCTCGGAAGCTGAACGGGTTTCAGGCATTAAATTACCGTCAAATAAGCATATTTAGATACCTTATTTGTGACACTGGCAGGTCACTAATTGAAGTAGGGTCCAGGGGGCTGTGTCCCATGAAGCTTAGCATTTAAGGCATTTAATTATGGTCAGATGAGCATTCAGGGATCCTTCTTAGGGCCCTTGGTGAGGTCCAGGGTGTGGAGCCCCGGAGGCTCAGGGGTGTTAGGTATTGAATTACGGTCAGAAGAGCATTCTTTCTTTCTCTCTTTCTTTCTTTTTCAAAAAAGTGAGGAGGGCTCGAGCCCTGCCGTTCTGCAGGCCCTGACATGAAGGCTTCTAAATAAGCACATTTTTTTGCCTAATTGTAAATTTGGGAGACTTGTCATTTTCCAACAAAGGCATACAAAAGTATAATTTACCTCCCAAAAAGAGAAAAAATCACAGAAAATCATGTCATTTCAGCAACATGTTCAAAAAGACCATATGATTTATGCAATTTGGGGGGGGGGGCAACTGCCAATGTCCACATTTCCTGAAACATCCCAGAGTACAGGAGAAGAACTTATCAATTGCACTCAGCGCTCTAAATCCTTTGAAATTTCTGCACTAATAAATGTCTTATCACTTTTGTCCAGTTGATATACCGATATACTGGCAAAAATCAGAGGAATATCTTCATTAAAGCACCTTTTTGGCTCAAAATTTATATTTCACACACTACATCACTCATTGAAATTGATATCAGAATGCAGGTATTTTAATTATCCATTTTTTGACACCAAATACATGGTGATTAGAGGTTTTAGTTCAAAGTTATCTTAAAAACTCGATGTAAACACACCAAACAGGTCCTTAATACACTAATGCACGTATATGCATACAGTTAATACACATGTGGGCAAAAATGTTGTTTTTGTGGAAATCAAATCAATAACTTTGGATTGCTATAACTTTTTATTGAAACGATACATAAACCTCTCCCTCGCACAGGATATTGTCGTTGTACATAAGCAAATTCCTGGAAAGTTATGCAAAAATGCAAATCTCCGATTTTGATATATCGAAAATAATGTTTTTTGATAAAATTCAATTTTTCCAAAAAACACAAAAATCATGTTTCTTACTTAAATTTGCGATGTTAATTAATCCCAAATTCTTTGAATTTGGTATCAAAATTTAGATAATTTAACTCTCTTTTATATGACACCAAACTCATGGTGGTTCAAGGTTTCCTTAAAATATTATTTACATAATACTATTTTGTCGTCAAAAGGGCCACTTTTTGGTGGGGGCGTCCCCCTGGCCACACCCACCACTTAGAACATGCCAGACGGTCAATTTGTTATGTGGAGCCATGCGATCTTTACATCTGTGCACATGAAAATTGGTTTCCTTCCCAGCTAGGTTGACCCCCCCCCCCCCCCTGGCTCCCGGTCTAGGACCCCCAGGAAATGAAGGAGGGGTCTGAAAACTTGCACCCCATCATTTTGGGCCAATTAGGACCCTTTTGAAGCCAAAACAGCAAAAAAATTAACTTTGGTACAAAAATCCTACGGGATTACATTCCATACCGCACTAATATATGCATACAATATAAGTATAAACATTCTCCTATTACAAACAAAATGTATACCAACATAACGAGTTTTGTTATTTTAGCCAGAAAATGGTCATGATACTTTTGTGTTATATATCCCGCATGACAGCCATGTATAATTATGTTTCGCAGTTGGCACACACCAATATTGGTAGGACCATATCTACGTGTATCTAAATTTTCATCTAAAAAAAAGAGAATTTCCTCTCCATATGATGTGATCAGTGGTGGATCCAGGGGGCGTGGGGCCCAGGCCCCCACCCCTGGGGAAAAAACGTGTAAAAAAAACTCTGTTAATTTTAGCTTTTTTTGGAGATGGGCCCCCTTCCCTGGCGCTCAAGGGGGGGGGGGGGGTGATTTTTCAAATTTTCGAGGGCCAAAAAGAAGAGATTAGTGCTCACTACCCCCCCCCCCCCCCCCACTGTGCGAATTATCGGCCGGCTAAATATTTTCTCACGAATTGAGCCCCCTCCCCTGCCGCCGGCTGGATCCGCCCCTGGATGTGATATTACGCCCGCATTCTCTCTAACCGATATAGCTGTACTTGCCATGGTTTAAGCATTATATTTCACCCACATCAATATAACATCCTTTTTACTTTATGCGTCTGATCCTCATATCATGCTAGGACTATGCCCTCATAATATTTCACTGCGTTTTTGGTACATAATATCGAGGAGTAGGGATCAGAGAGATTTTAAAACAGATGTACAGGGCAGAATAGCAAACTCAGTCGAGAGTCGAGACATTAACAAAAAAGGGAGTTTTCTGCTCTGTCTCATGTCACGGTTTTTACAGATGATTTCTGTCACAGAACTTAAAATCTATTGTATACACTATAATGTGTTTATGTTTAGGGTGTATCTTTGGGATGCTGCATCATAAAATAATTGATTATTATTAGCACTACTCTGTCTTCCAATCGTTTAATCCGGAGCTTTGTTTCTTTTCTTTTTTCCAATTTTGTTTTCCTTGCTTTTCTTTTCCTTACATTTCCATTCTTTCCTTTCCTTTTTCCTTTTCCTTTCCTTTCCATTCTTTCCTTTCTGAAAAAACACAAAAACAAATCCCACAGCGAGGGAAATCCATCGGCAACCAATGGAGGGCCCAGGACGAGGCCGGAAGAGAGCGTCGCGCTGGGGGCCAAATGGTCATTCCGAAGGTCCAGGAAGAGGCCGGAAGAGGGCGTCGTGCTGGAATGAAGAACCTTCGAGGGAAGGTCAACAAACTGCAGAGCCCTAATAGCGCTAAAGAGATGTTCAAGCTTCGGACCAAGAAGGCTGCTGGGAAAGCCAAGTTGTCTATGATGGCGGGGCCGCCAACAGGCTAGGCTCCTAAATGAATTTCCGTAATGACCGATCTAGAGATGAATCCAACATGAAGAGGGCGTTTTAGAAGCGACCATAAACTTGTCTAGGAATTTAAATTGGTTCCGCGATTTAAAGTTCAAGCTTAAATGTGAATGTAGGCACTTATTATTTACAGTGCAGAAATTGGAATCAACTTTAGAAATTCGTAACTCGATGTTATTAAGAGCAGTACTATATAGTTATTCGTAATTATACATTTTCAATCGTACTTCAATACATTTTCCTTCATTTTAACACGGATCTGAGCGCGGTCCCCCCCCCCCCTTTTTTTTTTTAAAGCCAAGAATTATCATTCTTAATTCAATTGTTAGAATGTAAACGTAAATCACAAATAAAAATAAGTCAAATCTTGATCATCTTGTAATCGTGCCTTTGGTGATATGTTGATTGATGAGATAGACGAAGTAGAGCAGATAAACCAGGACAAAGAGAAATAAAGGCGTAAGAAATTGCAAAATTAAGAACAGAGAGAGAGAGGGAGAGAGAGAGAGAGAGAGAGAGAGAGAGAGAGAGGAAGAGAGAGAGGGGGAAGGGGAAGATAAAGAGTGGGGTATAAGATGTTACAATAAAACATGGACAATTCAATAGGCCATTTTCGTAGTGTAACCAGATTTGTGTCTTCTTGTGAAGCACCTCGATACGCATTATATCATTCACCTGTTACGAATACAATTTGTATCTTAACTTTGAGTCAGAATTCAAATTGCATACATTAGTTGTTGGTATTTATTCGATTTCTTCATTTGAAAGAAAAAGAATAGATGTAATCAAACGCAAAGAAGCAGCGACCATGGTTGGTGGGAGGGAAAGAAAGAGTGTTAGAAAGAGAGAGAGAGAGAGAAAGAGAGAGAGAGAGATCGGGGGGGGGATAGAGAGAGAGAATTACAATAGGGAGAGAGAGAAGGCGGGCTGAGAGAGAAAGTGAGAGACAAGTAGGGGGAGGAGATCGGTCTAGGCCTATATTAAGATTAACGAACATCGGGGACAAAACAGCTTGGATTTGCCCTAGATTTGAAATGCAGAATAACAATTTATTCGATTTCCCGTCCCTTTGATACATCAGTCGCCCCTTCCCAAATCATTCAACTTTGATTGATTGCCATATATAATGCTGAACTGAACAACAACAACATCAACCAAAAATCGTCTGAGAATTATCTGCAGCCTCGCGTCATTCTGTTTGGCTGAATCATCACGCACAATGCCTGAAATACGTGCTAACCCATTTTCAGTATATGGGGACAATCCCAATTCACGTCTAGTGAACTCAATCTGATTATTACAGTGTATATCAGTATAGTACGACATAGAGTTGCTATACCAATTATCTTTGAATAGAGCATACAGGTCCCTTCTTCTTCTTCTTCGCTATAAAAGTATATGCCACCGTCGGGTGTATCGGGTGTATACTGATATCCCCAACCCAATAAATCGTTATCATGTGGATGACTGTGATATAGTGACTGTGCCTCGTTTAGAATTATGATCATAAGATGTTGTGTGAAATGGTTTGTTAAAAGAAAAGAAAAACATAAACAAATGATCAAAAAACAAAACAAAAATACCCCCTATCATTACTGTGCACGATGGCACGATTCGTGTTTGTTACCAAAAGCGCTTACATCTCTTGTGACATTTACCCCCTGGGCCCCTGATAGTTATGAAAAATAAACTCGATCCATAGAAATATTACATTTTTTAAAGTCTGTTTTTATTTTATTTCCTTGACCGAAATGAATGCACTTGTCACGGTTGTCGCACATGAAAAGCACGACCTTTGCTTCCCCATATTTCTATAAAGTGTGGGAGTATTTTATCAATCGCGAAACTATAATTTATATTTTCGCCATTTCATTATGGGCCTCATCTTCCCTTTCAATTTTTCCATTCCAATAAACATTGTGTACTCTGACCTAAATCTACTCCTTGAAAAAAATATATGTACTATAAAGCACACCCTGGTCTTTTGAGTAAAGAAAGAAATTCTGTTAGCGGACGTGGAGACGATCCTCATTTAGACCAGTGGGTGCCTTATTGTCGGATAGGCTCTGGTGAGCGAGAACTACAGCTTCAAAACCTGGAACAGAAAAGACGAAGATCTATTGTTTGAAGTTTGAAGTTTTTGAAATTGTATTTATTCCACATTTTACACCGAGTATTGGCACAGAAGTACAGGGCCATTTGCAAAGCGCAGTTGAGATAAACAACGAAGCTTCTACACCCACAACAAAAAGTGAGTCATTTGACACATTTAAGCATAATTTTCGTGAGTCAGGTGTAAATTGACTCATTAGTAACAACCAATGAGTCTCTATTGACTCATTTATATTTCACCAGTGTGTCAATCATGAGCTGACGCATTTGCAAAATGCTTCGACTGACTCACATGGTCGTAAAAAATGAGTCAAGATCGACATAAGAGCATTTTAGAAGAAAAAAGTGAGTCAACTTGAAAGTGAGGCTGTATGCATGCGCGCGCATGCTTTCGTTACGTCATCCAAAATGCGCATTCTCGAGCCATATTTGAATTCCCGATCGACGACGCGACGTCGCCATCTTATATCTTGGATTCAGAAGAGTTTTGACTGCAGCTAGTGAAAAATTGGTACGCATAATTATTCATATGGTTTTAAACGATGCTTTTTATGACTGGATTCGTGGGCTTATTATACAAATGATGCATGCGTTCATTTTACGATATCCGCACTCGAGTTGATGAGGCTGTGTGTAACTTAACTATATAGATTCTACTGTATCGCACGAAGCCGTGTCGAATGAAAACATGCATGATCTTGCATCATTGTTTTATACAACGAAACTCCTAGATCCTTGTTATTTGATGTAAAACGAATCAATTCAAGATTGTTTCGTGACAGTATGGGTGACAAATAAATCTCAAGTTAAGGCTTAATTTAGTGCGTACAAAGTAGATTTTTCAGATTCGGGTAGCGGGACCACCGATTACATCGCTAAAATGTGATATTTTAGGATATATTTTCCATTGCAAATGTGGACAGTGACTCTGGCATGGTATGGTATGTGTGTGATAGGCCTAGGGAGTAGGGGGTCTATGTCATGATGCACCCACAACAAAAAGTGAGTTACCCTTACTCAAATTGATGAGTCACTGGTTTGTCCGTACAGCGAAACACTTGAAGGATCGTGTGAGTCACTATGACTCGATACAAATGAGTCTTATTTATCTAAGAGACTCATTTGTATCGAGTCATAGTGACTCACACGATCCTTCAAGTGTTTCACTGTACGGACAAACCAGTGACTCATCAATTTGAGTAAGGGTGACTCACTTTTTGTTGTGGGTGTACGCCACTTTATCAGCCATTTTCTTCGTGAATTTCTTATTCTCTATCTCGGAGGAGACTCGAATCAGTGAATTTCAAGATGCGTCAGACCCTCATCATCCTTCTCGTCCTCGCAATCGTCGGGGCTGCCTTGGTCGATGCAAGCAAGGCTGATTTTCAACGTCGAGGCATGGAACAGTCCAAGAAGATTAGGGGCGGAATGGAGGTGAGTAGAGAATGACACGACACGTCATAATTATGTTTCTGGGGGGGGGGGGATCAATCTTTAATTGTGATTGTGCAACTTGAGTCATGAGTATATGCATACAGTATAATTATAAACATTCTCCTATTATAATATACAAACAAAATGTATACCAACATTTAGCGAGGTTTGTTATATAATATATAGCCAGAAAATGGTCACGATAGTAGCATACTTGTGTGTAATAATATCCCGCATGACAGCCATGTGTTATTATGTTTCGCAGTTGGCACACACCCAATTGATAGGACTTTATCTGTATCTAAATTTTCATCTGAAAAAAGTGAGTTTCCCCTTCATATGATGTGATATTACGCCCCATTCTCTCTTACCGTTATATAGCTGTACTTGACATGGGTTAAGAATGATATTCCACCCACATCAGTATAACATTCTTTCTACTTTATGCGTCTGATCCTCATATCATGCTAGGACTATGCACTCATAATATTCACTGCGTTTTGGGTACAAATGTCGATGAGTCAGGATCAGAGAGATTTTAAAACAGATTTACAGGGCAGAATAGCAAACTCAGTCGAGACATTAAAAAGGGAGTATCTGCATGCTCTGTCTCATATCACGGTTTTTACAGATGATTTCTGTTACAGAACTTAAACTCTATTGTAAACACTATAAATGTGTAATGTGGTACTGACTATATTGAGCATTTGGTGTTGTTTTATGTTTAGGGTGTATCTTTGGGATGTATCAAAAACTAATTGCATTACTCTGTCTTCCAATTGTTTAATCCGGAGCTTTTGTTTCTTTTTTTCCCAATTTTTTTTCTGTGCATCTTCCTTTCTTTTCGTTTCGTTAATTTTTTTTATTTTCTTGTTCTTCTTTTTTTATTACATTTCCATTTTTTCCTTTTTCCTTTTCCTTTCCTTTCCATTCTTTCCTTTCTTAAAAAACATAAAAACAAATCCCACAGCGAGTGAAATCCTTCGGTAACACATGGAGGGTCGATGACGAGGCCGAAAGAGGGCGTCGCGCCATCGGCAACGGATGGAGGGTCCAGGAAGAGGCTAGAAGAGGGCGTCGTGCTGGAATGAAGAACCTTCGAGAGAAGGTCAACGAACTGCAGAGCCCTAATAGCGCTAAAGAGATGTTCAAGCTTCGGACCAAGAAGGCTGCTGGGAAAGCCAAGTTGTCTAGGCGGCCAGTAGGCCCAAATTAAGTTCCCAAATTAATTTCCGTAATGACCGACCGAGAGATGAATCCAACATGAAGAGGGCGTTTTAGAAGCGACCATAAACCTGTATAGGAGTATAAATTGGTTCCGGGGTTCTGTGAAAAAAATTAGTTTGAGTTATTAAGTACCCGTATGTATGTCTTTCTGCTGAAATGTTAGTGTCTTTGCTTCGTTACAGATATGGTATCGATGGCGTGGGGGGGGGGGGGGCTCAAAATGTTACCACAATTTTGTTTTCGATGTTTTCATTTTGCAAGCATTCAACTCTTATACTTTAGTCGTTTTTTATGAACCTAGTTTTTTTGGAGAATTTTTTTATTTTATTGGAATGTAAATGTAAATCACAAATAAAAATAAGTCAAATCTTGGTCATCTTGTAATCGTGCCTTTGGTGATATGTTGATTGATGAGATAGACTAAGTAGAGCAGATAAACCAGGACAAAGAGATATGGAGTGGTAAGAAATTGCAATATTGAGGACAGTAAGAGAGAGAGAGAGAGAGAGAGAGAGAGAGATAGGGTGGTATAGCATATTACAATAACACATGGAAATTCAATATGCCATTTTCGTAAAGTAGCAAAATGTGTATATATGTCTATTTGTGAAGCACCTCGAAGCGAATTATTTTATTCACCTGTTACGAATACAGTTTGTATCCCAGTCAGAATTCAAGTTGCATACATATTATAATATGGTTGTTGGTATTTATTCAATTTCTTCAATTTAAAGGACAAGAATATAAGTAATCATGTCTAAAGAAGGGACGGCCATGATGAGAGGAAGGGAAAGAAAGAGTGTTAGAAGAACACAATGAGAGAATGAGAGAGAGAGAGAGAGAGAGAACAGAACAGAATATGGGAAATGGAGAGAGAGGGAGAAGGGGCGGCTGAGAGAGAAAGTGAGAGACAGATTTGGGGGAGGAGATCGGTCTATATCAAGATTAATTTTCCAAACGTTTAAATGGAAACAGAAGAGGAAACATCTGGACTCGAAGATAGAGCAGATGGACCATAGAAGCGGTGTCTATTTACTGAAAAACGATTCGGTACCTATCATAAAGGATCACAACTGTACGGTCATAATATTATACGGGCACATAGTGTACATGTATGTCCCACACGCTACCAATTGTGGAATTGTAAACGTGAATTGAGATTTAAAATATATAATTTTATTGGATGTGGAGTCTGATTCAAGCTCCTGTATTGGGCCACCAGCTTGATACCGTCCGCATATATTGGCCTACTGAAATCTTAGATGTCGTCGGTAACGAACATCGGGGACAAAACAGCTTGGAAATGCCCTCGATTTGAAATGCAGAATAACAATTTATTCGATTTCCCGTCCCTTTGATACATCAGTCGCCCCTTCCCAAATCAGTCAAATTTGATTGATTGCCATATAACGCTGAACTGAACAACAACAACAACACTCAACCAAAAATCGTCAGAGAATATATGCAGCCTCGCGTGATTCTGATTGGCTGAAAGTTCTTGACGTCATCGTGACGCGCAATGCCTGAAATACGTGCTAACCCATTTGCAGAAGGGACAATTCACGTCTAGTGAACTCAATCTGATTATTACAGTGTAAAATTACGTTCAACATACAGTTGCCAAACCAAGGAGTATTTTTATCAAATGCGAAACTATTAAGTCTGATTCAAAAGCAATGGCAATAAAATGAGTCTCGTCTTCTCTTTCAATGTTTACATTCCAATGCGTACTTTGAGCTTAATTTGCTCCTTGAAAAAAATTCATGTACCGTAAAGCACACCCTGGTCTTTATAAAAAGGAAACATTAATGTTTGCAGACGTGGAAATATCGGATATGCTCTGGTGAGCGAGGACTACAGCTTCAAAACCTGGAACAAAAACGACAAAGGTCTATTGTTACGGTTTTAGAGGAAAACACCCCTTTGGTGTAAGTATCGGCACTTAAGGACAGGGCCATTTGCAAAGCGAAGTTGAGATAAACAACGAAGCTTTTACGCCACTTTATCCGCCATTTTCTTCGTGAATTTCTTATTCTCTATCTCGGAGGAGACTCAAATCTCAAGATGCGTCAGACCCTCATCATCCTTCTCGTCCTCGCAGTCGTCGGGGCTGCCTTGGTCGATGCCGGCAAGGCTGATTTTGAACGTCGTCGCATGGAACAATCCAAGAAGATTCGGGGTGGAATGGAGGTGAGTAGAGAATGACACGTCATTTGTTTCTGGGGTAAAAAAATAATCTTCAATTGTGATTGTGCGACTTGAGTCATAAGTATGCATACAGTATTGAAAACATTTTCCTATTACAAACAAAATGTATACCGACACAGCGAGTTTTGTTATTATAGCCAGAAAATGGTCATGTTATGATAGCGGCATACTTGTGTGTAATATATCCCGCATGACAGCCATGTTTTATTATGTTTCGCAGTTGGCACACACCCAATTGGTAGGACTTTGTCTACACTGTCGCTCATAATTATAGTTGGAATATTTAACCCCAATTTATGGAATTATTTTGACACTGATTTATTCCTACTAGATCAAGATTATAGTATACATTTTCAGATTTTATTGAATAATAATTTGCCAGTGTTTGTTTTGCGTGACTGCTAAATCATGTGTATGCTACTATGCTTATCAACTAGGGGACCTACACCCTTAAGTCATAAATGACAATAATGAGGATGAATGCCCCACGTAGTACTCACTACCCTTTTCACTACATTTTTATCTGAAAAAAGATTAAGCTCTTCATGTGATGTGATATTACGCCCCCATTCTCTCTTACCGTCATAATTATAGCTGTACTTGTTATGGTTTAAGCATTATATTCCACTCACATCAATATAACCTCCTTTCTGCTTTATGCGTCTGATCCTCATATCATGCTAGGACGATAATGTTCTCATAATATTTCAATGCGTTTTGGTACATAATATCGAGGAGTAGGGATCAGAGAGATTTTAAAACAGATTTACATGGCAGAAAAGCAAACTCAGTCGAGACATTAACAAAAAAGGGAGTTCTCTGCTCTGTCTCATGTCACGGTTTTTACAGATGATTTCTGTCACAGAACTTAAAATCTGTTTTAAACACTATAAATGTGTTGTATATTGGTACTGACTATACTGAGCAATTGGTGTTGTTTTATGTTTAGGGTGTATCTTTGGGATGTATTATAAAATAATTGATTATTAGCATTACTCTGTCTTCCAATCGTTAATCCGGAGCTTTTGTTTCTTTTCTTTTCCAATTTTGTTTTCCTTGCTTTTCTTTTCCTTACATTTCCAATCTTTCCTTTTGCCATTTCCTTTCCTTTCCATTCTCTCCTTTCTTAAAAAAAACACAAAAACAAATCCTACAGCGAGGGAAATCCATCGGCGGAGGTTATCTTGGGGGCCGAATGGACATCCAGAGGGTCCAGGAAGAGGCCGGAAGAGGGGGTCGTGCTGGAATAAAGAACCTTCGAGGGAAGGTCAACAAACTGCAGAGCCCTAATAGCGCTAAAGAGATGTTCAAGCTTCGGACCAAGAAGGCTGCTGGGAAAGTCAAGTTGTCTATGCTGCCGCCAAACGGCAAGAGTCCCAAATAAATTTCCGTAATGACCGAGAGATGAATCCAACATGAAGAGAGCATTTTAGAAGCGACAATTAACCTGTCTATGAGTTTAAATTGGTTTAAATTTTTGTCATTGAGAAGGTGTATTAAAAAATAAACAAACTAAACAAACATTCTTACTTGTCGCGTATTAGGGAGGACTGAGTAAAAGTTGCATTTCTTGATATTATTGTATATTTTGTTCTCGGATTTTCCGACTTAAAGTTCAAGTTTAAATGTGAATGTAGGCACTAGGCACTGATTATGTACAGAGCAGAAATTGGAATCAACTTTAGAAAATCTTAACTCGATGTTATTAAGAGCAGTACTATAGTTATTCGTAATTATACATTTTCAATCATACTTCAATACATTTTCCTTCATTTTAACACGGATCTGAATTATCATTCTTAATTCAATTTTTAGTGAAAGTTAAAGGGGTGGAAGGCGCAAAGGGGAGGGAATCCATTTAGTTTTAGTAATTAAGTTACCACAAGTATGTTAGTATCTTTGCTTCGTTGCAGAGAAGGGACGGATGCCGTGGGGTGGGGGCTCAAAATGTTACCATAAGTTTTGTCCATGTTTTGTGCGAATATTTAAATTCAACTCTCATAGTTTAATTGTTTGTTTTTATGAACATTTTATTTTGGAGAATATATTTTTTATTGGAATGTGAATATAAATCACGAATCACAAATAAATCAAATCTTGATCATCTTTGAATCGTGCATTTGGTGATTATAATGATTGATGTGATAGACGAAGCAGAGCAGATAAGCCAGGACAAAGAGATATGGAGGGGAGAGGGGAGGGAGAGAGAGAGAGGGGGAGGGAGAGAGAGAGAGAGTGAGTGAGAGAGAGAGAGAGAGAGAGGGGGGTGGGAGGGAGAGAGAGATAGAGACACATTGACAGAGAAAGATAGAGAGAGAAAGAGGGCGGGTGGAGAAATAATACGTGGGAGTAAGGTGGACGAGTAGATGAACTTATGAGGATCTACATGTACTTTCCTCCTCGTCTGCTTCATCTTTGATTTATAAAATATACTGCGACGGAAGATACGTCAATTTAAATACAAAATACACATGTACATGTCTCTTCAAAGCTCATCACTCCTATCGAAAATGTTCCACCATTTCAACTTCAAATACGATCGCAATATCTTCCAAAAAATCAATGGCAATTTCACTAGCCTATTGTATATCCCATAGAAAATCATGTTAAGATTTACGTTTAAAATAATTGTAATGTTCGCTCATTTCAAAAAGTCATGGATGAGTATTTCAACTTTTCATCCGTATTTCAACTTTCAGGTAATTGAAGAAAAAACAGTGTTTTGCTTTCCCAAATAGATTTTATGAAAGACACTGTACATTAATATGCACCTTCCTTTCAAAATTGTCATGTTGTTTTGCTTCCTCTCCGTTCGTATGATACTTCTCACGAGTTTGTCTCTTTCTTTTTTGCAGTCTCGATAGCAATACCTAAATCATCCTCTTACACATCTCATCCCTTCTGTCTCTCTCAACTCGTTCGTCCGATACTTCTCATACGTTTGTCTTCTATTTTTTTGCAGTTTCAATAGCAATATCTTAATCATCCTCTTACACATCTTATTCCTCCTCTCCGTCTCTCAACTCACCCATCTGATACTTTTCATACGTTTGTCTTTATTTTTGGCAGTCTCAATAGCAGTAGCCAATTCACCCCTTACACATCTTATCCTTTCTAGGGTTGTTAAAGGTAATACAAAGTTTTGGGAAATTTTGAAAATTGGGTGGATAGTGATTCCTTACAATTTTGATATATTTGGATGCCCCTGTGAATGTATTATAAGCACTAGAAAATTTAGCCCCTAAAACACTTCTGCTTTCGAGAAAAATTGAATTTTGATGAATTTCAAATAGCGTCTACGGCCGTACAATGGTAGCTGCGACCATGAACATCTCAGAATCTCCAAATGGGAGTAGCTTATCGGTCGATTTTAGTCAAGAAACATTGTTTCATAGCTTAATTAAAATCTTGACCTTAAGAGGGAGCTATACAACATGAACAGTTTATTATTTACAATTTCATCATAACTTTAGACTCGATTTCAACCGCGACAACGATCACTGAATATTGTAGGATCGCATATGCATCCAATATGTTCATTTGAACCAAATTCATGACCCCATACCAAAACTTTGTATTACCTTTAACAGGCCCATTCATTTTATTCATCAGAATTACTTTTCCCAATTACAAGCAAAATTTGCTTTTCATTTTCGTGTCAATCATATTCAACAACCATTACCAGCATCCTCCTCAATCAATCAATCAATCACGAAATTCATCATCAGTTTATCACCAAGGCATTTATCATCCTCATCAATTAACTTAATTACTATTACCAGCACGCATGTCCTCACCATAACAAAATTAATCATAATCATTATCAATAAATTATTACCATCTCTAACATGCATATCATCATCATCTCAACCATCATCAATTTAACGTAAACTGCATGCAACGACAGGAACATACACACATCGATTCTCTTTTTTTTTTTACAGCAATTATGTGCAAAGCACTTTAATCTCTTAATATTAATACCAAAATACAGCTTAAGATGAACATGTAAAGGGAAAGAAATAAAATGGGAACAAGACTTTCTGAAATATGCATAAAGTTAGATGTGAAGTATCATAAATAAGGTATAATGACAGAGTTATATAATTTACAATAATTTAGGTGACAACTCCATAGAGGGAGTAATATATGTTACAGGTTTGTGGTGCCCTTTGTGAATCACGTAGGGAATGATGTTTATGATGAATTCAAAGAAATCGTTCAAAAAAGGGTTAAAACTAAAAACAAGATTTAATGCATCGAAGCTCAGCATAATGGCCATTTGATTGCACTGTGATAGTGTGCTGACGAAGCTCTCGTGGCTCCGTTTGTGCATTAAAAGTTACTCATGAGGTAATGCGTTTAACTGGTATTTTGAGGTTGAGATATGACCCTATCATGAAGGGTTGATCCTTGGCGGCAAAAAACACAGTCACCATTTCACGACCGGTTTTCCGTCGCCTCTGGTTATGATAGGGCAAAATAAAATACATACAGTGAGTAAAACACAACTTATGCTGAACCGAGTGCATGGTAAATTGGATCGAACAGAAAAGCGATACATACAAAACACCGATTTTAAAAATTGACTAATCACACACCTTGCTATTCTTTGGTGGCCCCTTTCTATGGAGTTCAGTTTGTTAAGTTTGTTCCTGCTCACCTTTCTTCTGCAATTCACGACCAAATAATGTTTTAAACACAGAAAGGGGCTGACCAAACACCTGATAAACTGAACTGCTTCAATAAATAGTGCCTGACTTCTTACAAAGATGCTACTGTACACGACATGGGGGAACATATTGCAAGCTAGTCAACAGAGAATTAAAAAGTGGCAGCGCCTTTTTTGACGCGGCTAAGCCACAGACCTGCACTTGGGTAGATTAAAAGGCGCAATTTTTTTTTGTTCAATAGCGAGAAGGTGAAAGAGGTATCCTTTTTTTCCTTCTCATACTAGATTGCGACGTCTAAGCTTGTCTGAATGCCCTAGTAAATTTGGTCGTGCAAGCCGAGCAGTCAGGCATGTCCATTTCAAACCAGCCTGCATTTCCCCACAGCATTTTTTTTGTTTGTCTACGAGTTTTGGGTTCATTCATAAAATTTTGCAACATTTACATCAAGAAATAATCATAACATAGAACAATTGCGGAATGATTCAGTGTGGTCGACGAGACATTTATTATACCAAACCTAGCAGACAACGACCTAATGAAGAGTAAATTCTTGGATGATTTCCAGGAGATTAAAGAGACACACGCGGGGCTGGTTCAGTCTAATGCTTCAGAGACTCTTCTGGAAAGGGACATGCCTGACTTTGGCTTTCGCACCACCTTTTATCAATAACCACCTCGGGATCGCCATGAATCTGAGGGCATAGGAAAGATAAGGACAAGCGCTCTCATTATAATCAGGTGCTGTGATGGGTGTTCCAAGTGTTTCACTAGGTTCTTGAGGAACACTTCCTCGACGCTTGTCTTCGCAAGTCAAGTCAAGGAAGGTTACGACAAGATGTAAGGAACAAGGACCTGAAGAGAGGCGCATGCTCTTTGTGGGAGCGCTAAGTGGCCCTCCTTCACGGGTATTAGAATTGTGTATCATTGCATGCCCCTATTAATATACATGCAGCTCACTGTTTTTTTTTTAATACCCCAGTAATAAATTGGGGTGAAAACGACTAGCTTGCCTACACTTTTCTTTACAAAAAAAAACAGTGGTAATTGTGTTTCCGTTATGACAACATCAACTTAATGTCTTGTGTTTTTCATGGGAAGAATGAAAATTTTCTCTCTCGACATTTGTTGATTGTCAAACGGAGAGAAATGCTTTGTCGCATTTACATATCGTATTTGTCCCCACTCTAAATCTTAAGAACACAAGGGTAGGGTACTGAAGAAAATATATATCTCTGAAGGTAAAAACATTTACAAGATGCTCTGCATATCTAAAGGCATATGTACATGTATGCAAGAGCATTACGTTAAAACTTTTCTAGACTCATTGGTATTCACAAAACATTTGGAATTTATCCAAATCATATACAGATGAAACCAACCACATGCCATTCTCATGATACCACTTTTGATTCATAAAAGAATGATTTGATTGGCAAATTCCATTAGATGATTGTTAAAAAGCTTTCATGTATCAGTGAACCTTCAATCATGACTCAATGCAATGAGAGAAAGAACAATTCTAATTTCACCAGGACTATGGTTTCCTATTTTCTAAATGTTCTTTATTGACCAGGTTGTGGAGCGGCTCCACCCTGATACTGCTGGTAATACTGCATGTACTGCTGGTAGTACTGCACATACTGAGCATAAGCAGCAGGGTCAGTTTGAGCCATTTGTGCCATCTGGGCTACCTGCGCAGGGTCCATCTGCTGCATAGCGCCTGCTGGTTGGGCCATCGCGGCTTTGGGGGCACCTGCTAGGGGTGCGGCTTGGACTAGACTTTGCGCGGGAGGCTTGTTGCGCTGGCTGTTGGGAGGGGGGATAGGGGGCTGCTGTTGCTTGGCCTGGTTGAGAGAGGGGATAGGGGGCTGCTGCTGCTGCTGCATGCGCTGACTGTTAGGGGGTGGAATGGGTGGCTGCTGCGGTTGTTGCATAAGAGGCTTACGCTGGCTATTTGGAGGGGGAATGGGAGGCTGATCACTTTTGTTAGATTGAGGAACAGGTGGTTGTTGTTGCATGGAATCTGGACCCATCAAAGGCATTGGCCTTCCTGATGGAGGCATAGCTCCAAACCCACCCTGTCTTCCCATACCTCCATGAGGTCCAGCATGCATTTGTGGTCCACCCGGACCCCCATGGGATGGACCATGAGGACTTGGTCCACTCTGACCACCAAGTTGCCTCCCTGGACCACCTGGCCCAAGCAGACCTTGTCCCCCTTGAGAACCACCACTACGTGCCCCAGCCTGAGATCCAGACTGAGGTCCCCTGAAACCACCCTGGGAACCACTCTGCTGATCCCTTGGTGGTCCTCCAGGCCCACTACTACCCGTGCCTGGACCTTTGTTCATGGGAGGGGACCCACCAAAGCTACTCTGCTTTGGACCCTGATCTATGCTATCTCTACTTCCCGGCCCATCTTCACTAGAAAAATTTCTACCTCCACCAAATCCTCCTCCGTGACTGCCTCCACGTGCACTGCCTCCTCTAGAGCTGGCTCCTCCATAGCTGTTCGAACTGCCACCGTTGCTGAAGCTACTTCTACTGTCTGATCCTCCTCGATCACCACTGCCAAACCTACTTCCTCCTCCACCACCTCCAAATCGGCTGCCACCCATGCCGCCGCCACCAAACCCATTGGAGTTTCCACCTGAGAAGCCTCCCTTACTGAATCGACTGCCGCCGCCGCCTCCACGACCATAGCGACTTCGATCTGCAAAGATGGTAAAGTTAATACAAAAAAATTAAAATAATTTAACATAGGCACTATGTTATTTATTTCTGTGTACAAAATTCACTTTTCACATTTATTAACCTGGTTTTTCTTGTACCTGCAACTCTCAAAACTTGAGTTTTTGCAAATTCTCCACAAAGTATTAAAATGGGAAGCGTTAACTCGTTTTTTTCCTCAAATTCAAAATCCACTGTAAGGTGATTGTGCTTCAGTAATGATAGATTACAGCAATATTCTACTTTCTGACAAGGATTTATCCACTATATTCTTAATTCTTTACTAAACCTGCTTTAGTGACTGACCACCTGTCTATAAAGACCAACTGTCTACAAAGACCACATATTTTTGTTTCCCTTGAAAATGGTTTCTCATTGAAATATGTAATAAAGGAACCTGTCTACAAAGACCACTTTTTGTGTTTCCCTTGGGCGGTCGCTATAGACAGGGTTTGACTATCAATTTCAACAAAACTCTGGCAGCAGTACTTACTTTTGCCACCAAAGCGGTTGGCTTCTTCAGCAAGGGAGATCAGCTTTGGGTTGATGACCTGCTTAGCCTCTTGAAGCACATTGATGAGGTCGGCTGCTTGCTTCATGTTGTTGCGGGTGAAGAAGGTGTAGGCTGTGCCTGTGCGGGTGCTTCGGGCAGTACGCCCAATGCGATGCACATAGTCCTCGGACGAATTGGGGTAGTCATAGTTAATGACAAACTTGATGTCGGTCACATCTGCAACGGCGTTACAGTGATAGGCATGCCAACAGAGCAGGGTGATGTTGGCAAATGTTCACCGTAACAATGTGAAGGTGAAGCAAGGGGGGAATAAAGGGTATAGTGTGAATATACAAATTTGGTGGCAGCACCCCTTGTGGAAGACCATAGCTAGTGGTCTTCCGGGGATAAACCCTTGAAATGAAATAAATGTTAAGTAGCATCTGAGCACTCAAAAATACGCTTTCTTCCACAACTCACTACAGATTCATCTCACAGTGAAACAGAACAAACTGGCCTTTGATGCACACTCCCCAGAATACAGTAAACAAAAGAAATGTCTAGGAAAACATATCTACTTACCAAATGATCTGTAAGAAAAGAAGTTATGTTCAGTAAGAGGGAGCATGCATCAGGATAACATAATGAAGCACAACATTGTGACGTTACAATGACGAACCAAGAAATGATGAGTTCTTGGCTTTCCATCAATGAAACCACAAATGTGAATGTCAATCGGCCAGCATCGTCTGTTCTTTTTCACTGGTCAGTTTATCAAGATGTTCTACGAATATCAGCACAGAATACAACCACTGCAACAGGTTGCAATGGCTGTACACAAAGCAGTGGCAGGTTGGGGTCGTAACTACAAGTACCACACATTCACTTCTGTGTAGCCAAAGTTTCTTTCTTCCCCTTCACACATTGGCAAAAAAAATATAGTTCTACAGGATGTCAGTCTAGTCCCGTTGACAACGTACTCTCTGATTTTAGTGGTTCTTTATGCTTTGTACAAGAAAAAAAAAAAGCAAACAGCAGAGCACAGTAGAAGAAGTCAACGGGCTAGGAGAATGGTACTCACTGATCCCTGGTGTGTGTATTTCCATGTAGAAGGGGTGGTGGCAGGAGGTCCCAAGACATGACAAGTGGCATCCTCAGCGCGCGTGCGGGAGAGGCTCGACATAATCCACGGCGAGTTACGGACACGATGTATGTCCTGCTTAGTCAAGAATTCCATCGGAGACACAAACAGGTTGTCCCAACCACTCTCAGCGAGAGAGACATTTAGTCACGTCCTACTGGCAGGTGGTTGGATGGTGGCTCAAAATCCCACAGTACTGTCTCTTTTTTTGTGTCTCTGGAACAGTCTGTACAACCTGGACTCTCGAGGTTAACAATGCTGCCCAACATTGCATTTAGTGAAAGGCAACGTTATGGCTCCCCATATAAGATCAATTGAATGGGACATGAAAAAGGGCCATGGGATAACAATTGGATCTAGGCAGAGATGAAACAAAATGCTTCATTCAAGCACGCAACGGGCAATTATGATATAGAATGTGAGTTACAATTGTTTGGGGCTTTTCAGCATCCTAACAGGACATAGACTAGATGTCTTTGAGGAGGGGGGGAAGTGTCAATATCCTTGTAATCGGAGCCACGGTTTCTTCCCTGGCACACACAAGAACAAAAATCAGACGAATGCCTCTCCCCGCTCGGTACGGTTGACGACGTGTCATGCCACGGGCCCTGCCGCAATAATTCATTTATCTACAGAGAAAAATAGAAAACTGACAACAGTTGCATCATACAAAGAAGTCAGAAAGACAACATGTACACTCAAAGAAATGCTTTTCAGTTGTCAAAAAAAAAGAAAACAGATCGGTTTCTGAGCCCCCGCCACTGCCATTTCGATACTCATTTACATCTTAATGCCTAGACTCCTCCTTTCCTCATCATCTCAATAATCACACATGCACACTTAAACTGTAAACTTAAAAAAAATCAGGTGGTTGCTGACGACATTATACCACAAATGAAGTTAGTTCAAGAAATTGTGCTTTTAGTTAACATCAAAATAGACTTCATGTTCAAGACTTAGTAGATAAAAAGAGACTTGGTTGTAAGGATTTATCAATCATGGTTGGTTTGATAAACTGGGCATGGTTAGCAGCACGAGTAAAATAAGAAACAAACCTAGACCACGAGATGCTACATCTGTCGCTACAAGGATTGGTGCTCTGCCATCTCGGAACTCTACAAAGATAAACCATTGGGCGATATACATGAAAACTGGAGTCTTACTGGGTGAAAACTTAATTAACTCTCATTAAACAGGTCTACACCGTAGATTCAGCATTTAACTTGACTTCTAATCTGTCTTCCTCTGACAGAAGACAAACCTTTAATACTTATGACGGTAACCAAGAAATTAAACAATGGTCATAGAAAAACTTGAGGAAGCACACATTATTTTATTTTCCGGAAGAGAGCATTATACATGCATCTCCTCTTTTAACAACTTGCTCATGGTTAAGTCGACATTCACTCCTGCTTTTTAAGGTTTTAAATATGAATTTTACACATGCACACGAGGATAAAAAGGAGGGAAATAATTGCAAAACTCACCTGAAAGCACCCAGTCTCGCTCTGGTTGAGACTTGTCACCATGAAGGCACATTGCTGGCCACCTACAAAATGAAACATGATCAAGGTTACAAAGGAAAATAAAATCCACAAAGTGACAAAGTACCACCAAATCAGTTTTTTTTTCCTCCTCTTTCTTTATACATTACACAATTTGTTAGTTAATTAGTTATTTTTGTAGACAATGCTTGTGGAGCAAGAAGTTCCTCCGATAATCTTTACATGGGAATCCGCACAACAGACTAGAAATATCATTTTTGAGGAATAATACTAACATTTTCTTCTTTTTTTCTGTATTCATGAAGTCTGATAACAAAAAGAAATATCTCATCAACATAAACTCAATTTTTGAAACCAGTGAAAACCATTGTACGAGGGCAAGCGGGCATATGGAAGATGGAATTATAAGTACAAAATATCAGTCCAAACTCCAAAGCGATGGCAGACTTACCCATCTCGTCTCATTCTGCGTACCAGGTCGTCGGTTCTGCGTTTGGTTTCACAAAAGACGAGGGTTTTGTTGTCTTTCTCTTGCATGATCTCTTCTAGTAGTTGGATAAGCCTGGTGGAGTAAGATGACGAATGAGAGAACATTATTTGAATAAATGCACTACGATTCTTTACCAAGAGGGTACCAAGCACCCTAGCCCATTTCGTCCACCACATATTTATTTTGTTAACAGCTCCCCCTATCCATAATGAAGCTGATTTTTTTGTAAAACCTTCACCTCCCCCCAAAAAATTGTTTTCACAGCCTCACTACACCCAATTGTAAAATAATAAAAAAAAAAATTTAAAAAATAAAAATTTAAAGTCACTTTATAGGCAAGAGACACAATCTGAACTGGAAACGGATCTTTGTCCGCTAGTCCCTCATAGATTCCATTCACCATTTTTTTTCTTCTTGTCCTCTTCTTCGTCTTCCTTCTCACTCATCTGCAAACTTACTTCTTGTCTTTCTCCGAGTCTTCACACACATCGATGATCTGCAGGATGTTGTGGTTGGCAGACAGGGTGAGGGAACCAATGTTCACCATGATGTAGTCCCTGATGAAGTCTTCAGCCAGGTTCCTCACGTCCTTCGGCCACGTTGCACTCCACATCTGCACCTGCCTGTCAGGCTGAAAGACATCAACAAAACGGAACGGAATAAGAATGACCGACATGAAGGGCTGTCTTGATACAGGTTCTTCCCTACAATCGCCAAGCCAAGTCTTACAATGTTGCTGGTTACACTATGAACATGACTGACAAAGAAAGCAGACAAAATATACAGTTCCTCAGGTAGACAAAGGAACATCCCTTCACTGCTATTATGTAAAAATGTGTAGAACAGGTGTCACATGCACATTCACCTTTTTACATAATAGCAGAGAAGGGATGTTCCTTTGTCTACCTGAGGAACTGTATATTTTGTCCGCTCTCTTTGTCCATCATTTTCATAGTGTTACCACCCATACAAAGTGATGAAGAAACCTTGTCCAGTATATGACAACTGGGCACCGTCTTATGAAGATTTGATATTAATCGCAACTTATTTGCGATTGAGATATCAATCGCAGCTATGTACATAAGAGATAGGAGACTGCAAACTTGCAATCGATTGGAGGACTTTGAATTGCAACTTTTTATAAGACCGGGCCCTGGAGACGATTGTATTCATAATTTAAAAATATGATATGCAGTGCACTGGCTTGAACATGCATACAATATATGGGCAGAAAGGGTTCAACAAGTTGAGGCCAAACAAATTACCACTAGTATATTCTGTTGTTTCCGTACTAAGGTACTATAGGATTTGATTGTAAAAATTTCTAAATCTAATGTTGAAAAAGGAGATAATAAAGCTGCAGAAGAATATATTCACAATTAAATCCACTGTTAACCATAACCCTCTTCCTTCACACTTGATCTCAGTGACATGTCCCAGTTACAACCCAAGATTCATTTGCTTACTCTAATCTGTTCCATGATTTTCCTGATCTGGGGCTCGAATCCCATGTCCAGCATGCGATCAGCCTCATCCAGCACGACGTAAGTACACCGCCTCAAGTTGGTCTTGTTGTTCTCCAAGAAGTCAATCAGCCTACCAGGAGTGGCGATGCAGATCTCAACACCTAGAGGAGTAAAGGAGCAGAGCGAGAACTAAGTTATAGACATACGATCCACAGAAATGGTTCTGTACAAAATCTTAATGATTATTTTCCCTCATTCTCCAAAATCTACAAGGAACTGTACATTACTGGGCAATAAAGGAGGTGATGAGAAACGGCAAAAATGTACAGTGGTTAAATCTCAAACAATAGCTAATTAGAATATGAAATCATCTTTGAATTTTTCTTCCCAGTGCCAGGAGCCGGAAGGAAGTATTTTATATCGAATACAATTAGGCAATAAAAGAGTGTTAAGAAGCAGCATGAAAGAGTACCGGTGTACTGCAATAGTAGTTTTTGAAGCGCATTTATCCCCTCCCCCCCCCCCCCCCCAAAAAAAACAGCTGATGGCATCTTTGATGTTATTTGTTTTGGAACATCTTTGCGGATAAAATGATGACAGCTGTCAGAAAGACAGAGACTTACCTCGTTCCAGATCCCTGATCTGTTGCCCCTTGGGAGCTCCACCATACACACATGTGCTCTTGATCTTTGATGAACGTCCGAACGCAAACGCCACCTGCTGAACTTGCTGGGCAAGCTCTCGAGTTGGTGCTAGAACAAGAGCCTGAAATTTGTTCAGGGTAAACAAGCAGTTAGAAATCGTGAAACGGTAAAATGACTAATAAAAAAATGCAGGCGAAAGATTCCTCTCACAGAATCTAAGTTGCCGGTAATTAAACAAGTGGTTGATCATTATTTCTTTATTATGTCTAAGACTTAAGATATTTAGCCATCTTGCATCTCATCATCAAAGGCCTGCATCTTACAACTCTGGCTATCAATAAACTACATCAAGCATAATTATGGAGAAAATCAAAACACTTTTTATTCATACAAAATCATGCAGGAAAGCCTACTTCGCCAGAGAAGACAGAATCAATTCAATAAAATATCACCCGCTATAGAGTCAGCTTGTTTCCCATCATGGTTCTATACTATGCTATTTCAGCCCTTGACAAGTATGAATGTAGTGAAGTAATTGAATTACAAAACAGTTAAGATGATTATTCTTCAGCACTTACGATAGGGCCGTCTACGCCTCTTTCCAGGAATGGTTGATGATTTATATGAACTATTGACGGCAAGAGATACTGTAGAGGGAAAAAAAAAGAAAAAGAACAAGTCGTTACCTCTTATGCAAAGATTTGTGTCGACAATGAAATCAACAGGAGACAATTCCTCAAACACATAGAGCAATATGTAGGGGTGAAAGTGAGTAAAAAAATCATCAGGAAAACGATTTAAATCAGGTTATTATCGGGCCTGAATATGCTTACAGCTAAGGCTTAAGGATAAACTTAAGTACTGGTAATGCGATTGCATTGTGAAAGAAAAGGTGTGGAAAGGATCAGAAACAGTTGATCATGTAGCATGTAAGTATGGGTGTGCACTGCAAGGTTCTGGAGTCATCAAAATCATAATAAATTTGACCGAGTCTTGGTAAAGTAACAAGCACTGTACACAGAACACACACTGTACACATATATGGGACAACACACATGGTGTTGGGGATAGTACTACCTTGATTTCCTTGTCTTTCTATGCTCATTACTCAGCCAGTATACATTTTCTTCCAAAATTGTTTGGCACATGTCATTTATTTGTAGTCTTGAGCATTCAGTGTAAGTTTCGTTTGATTCTGTGAGAATTAGTGTTCCTTTTTTTACTAGAACTGGAGTTTATCTTTAAAGGCACACTGTCCTACTTGTAGCTACTTGCTCCCTCTATATAGAAATCTTCCCCAATCGGTGCCTGTTGGTCCCCCATGATCCTCTTTTTCTTATGTTAAATGAGAGCTGAGTTAATGAGATAGCCACCTGTCACAGTGACCTCGCTGGCTCGCTGAGTGGTCTAATCCTTCTAGCTGAAGTAGTAAAGCCTGCCTTTAACCTTGTTTCAGTGTATTTGAACGTAGTGTTATAAATCAAGAGAACTTACTGAAAGGGTCTTTCCGGACCCAGTTGCAGCAATGCCAACCAGGTCCCGTCCACTGAGTGCTACAGGCCAACCCTGTGCCTGGATTGGAGTTGGATGTGAGAATCCACTCTTGCTCAGCTCACCCATTACGTAATCTGTAGGAGAAGGGGGGGGGGGGGGAGGGTGGTAAGAAGAAATGAGGAATTAGATTTCATATTAACTTCATGCCAATTCAAATGGAAGTTTTGTCTTGTGTGAAGGATTTGAGAAAAAAATTGCATTCATCCAAGCATGTGCCTGGTGTCGACTCTCCAATGGATAGGGGGGCAGAAGTCTCTTTGAATGAAAAAATACATGTAAAACCTCTATATTTACTGGCCTTGTGTTGCTGCATACATGTATGAGGAAGAATAATTCTCAATGTATGTCCTTGAAGGTGTAATTTTCAAGAGTTTAAACTCACCTGGGAAGCTTGCTTCATGGAATTCAAACACCGGCCTCATGGGTTCCTTCCCTCTGACTGTGATTTGTTTATCTGTGCAGTAACTTTGAATTTCAGTCTGTTAAAGAAAAAAAAGCACAAGAATACAGAGAATGATAAGATATATAACAGAAATAAAAGAAAGGCTATAAAAATTACATAAGGCGAAATAGAATAAAATCATGTTTAGCGACCCCGCCCGCTTTTACAAAAAAGACAAAACACAAAAAATATACTTCTTAATTTTTATACGAAAAAAAATAAAACAAAATATAGAAAATGGCATCCTCCTCCTTTAAAGGCCCACTGCACTACTTGTAGCTACTTGCGCCCTCTATATAACAAACAATGCCTAATCGGTGACCATTGGTCCCCCATGATCCTCTTTTTCTTATGTTAACTGAGAGCTGAGTTGATGAGATAACCACCTGTCCTGTGAACTTGCAGGGCAGTCTAATCCCTCCTGTAAACTATGGCAGATACGCTTTAAAGGGACTTTGTAACATTGTTCAGATGAGAGATAGTGGTGCTAAGGTAGTGACTTCAATGTTAGATGTACAATTAAAGATAATCTGAAAATTTGAGTGAAAACGGATCATTATTCATGGTACAAATTGGAAAAAACTGATCTGGTTTATTCTACTTCTATTCTGCTACTTGTCAAAGCCTGTTCAGCATCAAGACAAGGACAATTTAATTACATTTTAGGTGAATGTAAATCGTCACAAAGCAATAAAATGGCTCTTCATTCCATTCCAGACAGTTAAGTGTTGACAGATTTTTATAGCCTGTTTTACGTATTTTTCTCATGGAAAACGGTTGGGAAAATTCAAAAATGGTTGGGAGAATTTACTATTAATCACTGTTAGAGGGTGCCTCACATCGACGCCTTCAAAGAAAACCATAGATATCTTTGTGGTTTGAGAATGTGTTCAGGATTTTTTGCATGTCAGAGGGTTAGTATAGTAGAAGGAATATAGTAAGTAACATTTTATACAAATATTAAGCAATTTTTTTCATCAACCTTCAACAATGTTACCGAGTCACTTTAAAAAAAAGGCAGGATGCTTAAAGGTAATACAAAGTTTGGTAATACAAAGTTTTGGTATGGGGTTATGAATTTGGTTCAAATGAACATATTGGAAGCATATGCGATCCGACAATATTCCGTGATCGTAGGCGCGTTTTAAATCGAGTCTAAAATGATGAAATTGTAATAATAAACTGTTTTTGTTGTATAGCTCCCTCTCAAGGTTAATATATTACTTTAGCTATAATACAATGTTTCTTGACTATACAATCGACAGATTGGCTATTCTCATTTGGAAATTATATATCACAACTACATATTTTCATGGTCGCAGCTGCCATTGTATGGCCGTAGGCGAAATTTGAAATTTCAAAAAATGTACCGGGAGCACTGGTAAATTTTTATATTCAATTTATCTCGAAAGCAGAAGTGTTTAAGAGGCTAAAGTATCTAGTGCTTGTAACACATCCACATGGGCATCCAAATATATCAAAATTGTAAAGAATCACTATCCAGCCAATTTTTAAAATTTCCCAAATCTTTGTATTACCTTTAACATGTTTTGTTGTTGTTTTGTGTTTTTTGTGGGGGGTGGGCCTCAAGCAAAATGGCATCAACTCTTTAAAATTTAACTACATGGCAATTAAAGACAAGATCTCATTTCCTACAAATTGGGTATCAGAAAATGAGATTGCAACTTCAAATTGATATAACCAGAAGTTTGACAAGGGATGGGGGGAAACATTAGAAAGAGAAAAGAAAACTCACAAGTGGTCTTGCTGTTACATCTGGATGTTCTCTGTAGAAGTTCTTCTTGAAAGGCGCCAGTTTGTCTAAATCCCATCTTGGTTTCTTTAGCCTTTCTCCTGGTTGTCCAAACTTTTCTTTGAGACCGCCACCTCCACCCATAGAGCCCCTGCTTCCAAATCTAGGAGGTCCTCCGAATCCGCCCCCTCTACCACCACTGAAAAGAGAACAAGAAATGATATTGGTAGTGTTGCCAACTTATGACAATAGCAATTTAGTTTATACATGTATGCGCATCACAGGAGTTTGCTGAATCATGAGCGCATGGAAAAACCAGCACTTTCGGCAACTGTAATCTCGGATCCTGATTACGGTCCCTTTCATGCATGCGGCGGGCTTGCACCCCAGCCAAATGTTGGTATGCATTGTGCAGCCGTTTGCAGTGAAACCTGCGAGAAAGTTTACTCCTAGATTAAAAGATTAAAAAATTGACACGAAACACGACTTTTAAATTTAATTCATGACTGTTATTTGAATAATAGTGGAAGATTTAGATGATTTTTGGTGTTATTGTTAGTCCAAAAGGCAAATGGTCACTCCCACTCACTGACTTGGTCACATCACAGTTGCGATTGTGAACCAGCACCTAAACACACAAATGCTCTAGATTCTAGATCTACACAAAGGAAAATGCATGCCAAGTACAGCATGCTGATATCAAAGGGTTTATTTCATATATTACGGAAACTAAGGTTTTCGGTCTACGTTTGTCCGAACTTTGTTGATGGTGAACTGTCGATTGTGACCACTTAGAGTAAAGTACCCGGTAATCGGTCAGCTCCGGTTTTCGGCCAATTGGTTGGATACATGGTAAAATCACTTTAAAATACATCGCATAATAGCATAACACATATCCCACACATACCATACCATGCCAGTGTCACTGAAGAACCACATTTGCAATGAAAAATATATCCTAAAATATCACATTTTAGCGATGTAATCGGCGGTCCCGCTACCCAAATCTGAAAAATCGAGTTTCTTACGCGTGTATGTAAGAAATATGGGTACCATAAAATGAGCTTTATTTCAAGTATTTTTCAGATATAGAGCCCGATTTTGTGCTGGTCGCAAGCTCAAAAGTATCTCATCGCATGTATTAAATCAATGCAGCCGCACACCGCGACGCACACACGATATGTCTGTCTAATTCAGATTCCAACTTCCGATCACCGCTGTGCCTGTATTCGGCCAGGCGAGCACCCGGGAGCTCCGGCGTGGGATACCTGCTCCGCCCGCTTGTGCTATACATCAGCGCAGAAACGCACGGCGCGCGCGAGCGCTTCCTATTGACTTTGTACATGCGGCCGTAAACTGAAACGCTCGGCCGATAACCGGCTCCAAAACAGTGAAAATTGAAATGAATATTGTCATGGCAATTCGTGATTTTTTTTGGGGATTCTTTTTTTGTTTAAATAATAATAATATTTGCCTCATGATTTGAACAAGAAATGATAATAAATAGGAAGTAAAGAGTCCAATAAATAGGATTTTGTCTTAAGTGGCCGAAAACCGGGTACTTTACTCTATTTCCCTTTGCCTTTGGAAATTGGAGGGATGAATGTTTAGACAGAGTCAGTGGTCATTCATTGGTGGGGTATTCTAAAGTTGCTCCCTAATTAACAGATTATATTCAATGAATTTAAGACAGCAAAAACAAAAACATTGGGTTTAGGCCTTTGCTAGAAATTTCTAATAATACTCGAGTTGAAGGCATGCTCGCGTGCATCAACCACATGACAAAGTCATTCATTCATTCGTTGCATTGACATTACACAGGAAAATTCCACATGCGTGTGCACACAAATATTCACAATCACGCACATCCGGACTCAGCCGGCGTTTTAAAACGCTATTTTTAGTGTACTTACCCTCCATTTCGGCTACTTGACCTATCAAAAGATCTACCTCTGTCTCCAAATCTGGACATTTTTCACAGGTATTATGCAAAGCGGTGAGAAATAAAGGTGTTTTTTACTACTTTACTTGGCAATTACGAGAGTCTGAATTAAAAAGTACAGGACGGTGCGACCAGCGTGCATGAAACTGGCTTTGTCATGCAAGAGGCGAATTTCAAGCAGATTGAGGAATATATTCATCCGCTGCAGTAATTAGAATGATCTACATGATAAAAATGGCCGTTAAAATCCAAATATTTTGTAAATGAAATCGAAATTAAATATCACTAATGTAAATAATAAATAAATATTAATTAATGATCTAAATTTCATGTGAACTACCTAATTTCATTTTGTTTGCTAAAAAACTACATTTCGACTATCTTCATGCGGAGCATTCGGAGAAAAGTATCGACCGTATGACGTCATTTATCGGGCGACGTTGCGAATTCAAAGTTCGTTTGGAGTTCACATGTCTGTCTCTCTTTATAGTCTGGAAAAACAGTTTCTAAGTTTCTAGTTTTACAATTTTTTGGTGTATTTTATTGATTCAGAGCCTATACTAGCGGGAGATTTAAAATAAAGAATTGTTTTCGTCTTCTACAGCTATAACAGTGTATACCCATTTATGACTTTAATATGTCATCTCGTCCCAGATCATATTAAACACTTCCTAACTAGAAAGAGTGTGTGCTAGTACATTACTACGTATAGGCTCCAGCGACTACTCAGCCTCAGGCCAGGAAGCTCCCTCGCCCCCCCCCCCCCCCAACCCGGGCCGCGTCTTATTTTTTCGTACCACGGCGAGGCCGGATTCCTGTTTTATCATGAATATTCATTAGGCAGGGTCGGGGAAAGTCTCGATTCTCTTAAATATTCATATCGAGGTGGGAATGCACGACGCGCGCTATACTCGCACAAAGTGAGAAGGTTTAGTTCACGGAGAATGCATATGGGTGAGTAATTGATTGAAATATCAGTAGATTAAGAGAATTTAGTCATTAATTTGAAAAAGCTGTAATTCGTGATCTACTGTAATTTCTTTACATTTTGAGACTGTTCTCAACAGATTTGTGGGGAAAAGGCTAGGAAAATATTTCTCTTGAAATTGCACTTTGATTTTCATCGTCGTGAAGTAGTTTGACTGCGGTTTGCCTTCATGTCACCCTTTAGAGCCCCGGGGTTCCGGCAGGCCCACGTTGGGGAATTTCGGTGCTCATCTGCATCAAGATAAAACTTTCTGATCAGGTTTTATTCCAAATTTGATCGTCATCGTGAATCTAATTCACCAATCATCCATTGAATTTAAATCTAGATTTAACGTTACACCTTAAAATAATCTATGAAGTATGATTTCTTTAATAATCCAAGAGGGTTAATTCTTGTTTATATCTTTAGTAGATGTCGACTCTGTTGGCTATACTAGTATTACTAAGACTAAGTGCTATCCGTTCGCTCAGTTGCATCATTGGTGCGTGTCAACTTTTTTAGACCAAAATTGTTTGTGACCATGGATAATCAAACAGCTCCAAACCATATTTCATTTAGACGTAAACCTGGAACTTATTAATAAAAATATTCAAAAACAAACAAATTAGACCTAGGATTCATTTATTTAATGTTCAGATGTTGTGTGTGTCCAGTGTGCTTGTCAAGTTGTCATAACTTTTCTAGATCTAGACCTATATTAAAGATTTTTTCTTCTCCAAAGTGTGCAGTTCATTTGATAAATCTATTAATTGTTGGACGTTGTATAAGAGAAGACCCCTAGGGTAGTCGACAATTATGTTTACTTATACGCAGAGGCGGCGGAGCCTTTGGGCGGAGCAACTTCCAAAGTGGGGGGGGGGGGGGGGCACCAACAAAAAGGGCACTTTCTTGAGAAAAGGGCACCTTCAGAGGGAAAATATACCATTTTTTTGACATTGGTATATACCCCTATGTTGTGATTACATTATCAGGGATGATTTCAATATTTGTTTCTCTTAATACAGCATTTAAGATATTGCTTAAGTATCATACTTTGCAGTTTTTGGCTTGCAGTGCGAAAAATTACATCTTATAAAGAGGAAAACCCAATCCTGATGGGATTATATAAGCACAATCTTATAACGGAAGACTGAATAGATCTGTGATAAGTTACATAATTATAACGTCTATAACTGGGCAAGCGTAGCGAGCGAGCTTTGTGGGAAATTGCTTTTAGTCGCTTGAAATTAGGGACACGTTTAATGATGAGAGGAAAAGGGGACACTTATCGAAAGGGTTAAGACACTTATCAGAAAAGAAAAGAAGCATGTGTCAAAGTACAAAGGCTAATTATCAGAGGTGAAAATGGGGCACTTACACCTAAACAAAGAGGCATGCACCAGGGATGATAAGAACATGGGCATTTGTCGACGGAAAAGAGGCACCCATCAGATTTTGATAGAGGGCATTTATAAGCAGTGAAAAGGGGCATTTATGAAAAAGGGATAGGTTCTTTATAAGAAAGGAAATAGGTTACATATCATTGTTAAAAGGGTAATGAAAAGGGGAAGTGGCTCTTATTAAAAAGAAAAAGTGGCACATGTTTAAATAAACGGGGCACTTATCAAAGACGAAAAGTGGTACCGGTAATTATGATAAGGGGTAAGGGTGCTTATAAGGAAAAAAGGCATTATATAGGAAGGAAAAGGAGGACGTGTCAAAATAAAAGGGGCATTTATAAGAGATGAAAAGAGTACTGACTAGGAGGGGAAGGGGTGCTTGTCAAAGTAAAACAAGTATCTCTCAGAAGTGAATAGGGTCATTTACAAGAGATGAAAAGGGGCACTTAAGAGAATGAAAAGGAACTATTTTCATAGATGAAAAGGGGCATTTATGAGAAGGGAAAGGGCCTATTTTTAAATGGGGGCACTTATAAGAAAAAGGGGCACTTATTAAAAATGAAAGGGAGCACATGTGAAGATATAAGGTGCGCTTATCCAAGTTAAAAGGGGTAGTTATTAAAAGGGGAAGGGGCACTTTAAAAACTTAATAGGGGCACTTGTCAGAGTAAAAGGGGCACTTTCCTATGTAAAAAGGGGCACTTTTCCTATGCAAAAAGGGGCACTTTTAGGGTACTTGACCAAATGGGAGGGCACTCTGCCCCCCCCCCCCCCCCTCTCGGAGCGCCGCCTCTGCTTATATGGTATGTAGTCCACCTCTTCTTGTTATAATAAACTAATTCTACTTAGTACTGCTTCGTGTTCATAGGCCATAGAAACCACTGTTTGATGCACAAGTTAAATCTTCCATTTAGTTTTACTTTGTACTGTGGTTCATTAAATAGGAATGTTGATTTCCACACCATATTAAAATTAAGGCCAACCATGACATAAAAATATCTATTAATTTGAATTATGCTAGATCTATTTTATTTTGTTAAGGAGAAAGGGATGCCTTGATTGTCGTATTGATTTTCTTCTTCTTTTTGTTCCAAAAGATTGAAACTGAAGAGCTGGAAGGAGGACATTACAACATCTCTTATATTTGCAAGATGAAGCAGAAAGTCCCATGCATGTACAGTTATCAGGTTATTTAGCACACACATATTAAACGACCACCTATTAATTCACTCAAAAGGAAATGGAACTAAGTTGACATTGCAAGCATATATAGTGGAGGGTATATTTTATTCTAGTTCTGCACCTAGTATACAAATATTGATGTCTTTTCTTTCTATGTTTACAAAGGAAAATTTGTCCTTATTTACAGGAGGTCCTGTGTTTAGAAGAGCCATATCAAATGCACATTGTAAGCACTACATACACAGGACCCCTCATTTTTTTTTTGTAAGGGGTACTTTCACTTCTTGAGCAATGAAGATGAAGAAGAACACAAAATAAGATTGATAAAAGTCTGTTTATAGGATGTATTATGGTTGATATGTATCCATCAGTATCAGTTTTTAATTGAAGTACATGTACCTACTTTGTTTTCTCTCATGTAGGATGATGCCTCTCTACAGTGGATGATGAAGGCATTCTGGTTTGCAAACTCAGGAGAGGAACAAAGAACAGATGTTGACGGGATCATATCTAGAGATGCGGGCCTACTACACTTCATACGAGCAAGTGTGCTAATATACATGAAGGTACCCCCAATAAATTTTTGTGGAACAAATGTCATGAAGAAAATTATAGATCTGAAACAGATATTTTTCATTGTCAGTTGACTTGTAAAAGAATAATTGACTTAATATCACAATTGTAATTTAGATTAAAAATTAAATGTCAATATAGATGAAATATAAGTCTACATTACGTATGTTTCAGTAGCATTATTTCCAGTACATTCGCTGGTCAAAGTTGTTTGGTCATTTTATGTCCCATACTTAACCGAGTATTATTCAATTACCGGTATGAGCACGAGTTGTATTACATTGTATTACTTATTTCATACCTTGTCTGATCCGAGCTCCAGCAGGCCTATCGTCTTAATGGGATCATCAGTAATAATTTAAGATGCGGTCAGTATTTAAACTAGTCTTGTACAAAAAATAGTTTAGGTTTGCCCACTAGAACCCCAAGTGAATTTCAGTCCTTCCTTTTTCTGAGCAGGTATCAGGGTGTATGTTATTAGTCATTGTTGATTTTTTTTATATCTTATTTCATTTTTCCATTCAACAGACTTGGGTTATATTTTTTTCTGAAAACTAGGCTACAACTTTAGTGATGGATGCAGAAGATATATACACGAGACTACGTCTTAAAGATGCCACCCTCATATAATGAAAGAGGACAATAGAGATGGGTTTAAACTGGAATATTTACATGATATTTATATGTTATTTGTATTATATGTTTGTAGAATACTACATTAAATAAAGCTAATGAAGTTTATCATCTTGTCGACTTTCAAATAATTAAAGATAACTAATCCTCAACGAATAAACATTAAAATTCTAACAATGTCAACTACCATCTTATAGGATGAAACTGAGGACTGGGCAGAAAGATTCTCCTTCAAATTTGATTGATAAAGGTCTATCAGTCTATATCAAAGATTGAATTAATCAATGATATTTTGATTATAATTATACATGTTAAAATTCATTTACCTCTATGGACTTCTGTATGGGAAGTTTTGTAGATTATGAAATTATTGCTACTTCAAGTATTGTATGTAAGAAGGTTTGAAAGACAACACTCTAAATGCATTAAATATGGAAACTGCTAATCCTCATTGCCTTTCGTATCCAAACTGGTAGCTTTCATAGAATCATGTTTCGATGCTTCCCAACTAAAGAAAACAGGGAGTGGGGGGGGGGGGGGCTTGCTATCCTCTTATCTTATCCTCTGTACAAATATGATTATATTAGAAGGATTTAGAAAGTGAAATTTTGAATTATAGCATTACTGTTGGTAGAAGTAATGGCAGTGTCGATTGTTAATGTGGGGGAGGGGGGGGGGGTTCCTGGTGAAATTTACGGTATGCCAATGTCAAATTAATAAAAAAAGAGAAAACTATTCTTAAGAATAAAAATTATACAGTACATGGGCCTCCTAACAAAAACCCTGGTACCACTGTTGTGTTTTGAGTGTGTTTTTTTTTTTTTTGGGGGGGGGCTGGCAAACCAATTACAAATTTCCAGTGTTAAATTCAAATTTTTTCTTTAACAAAATTATGTCAATATATTGTAATTAAACAATGTTTCACTTTCCTTTTTTTCAAGTTAGATATTTGAATAAAATGATTAACATTTCTCTGGCCTCTACATTAAAAATGTTCTACTTCTAGCAAAGCTCCTAGAAAGGCTGCAAAAAGGGAGAGTGAAGAGAATGAAATTGAAATGTGGACAGTAATGGAGTGAATATGGAATGGTTGATGGTAGTTGATAACGAGTGAATGCAAATGAGTGGCAACAAGTACGACTGAAAGTGAGACAGAAAGGAATTGCAACAGGTTGCTCAGTCAAGAGAACAAACCTTGCAGAAGATAGTTTTCGAAAGACAGAGAAAGCGAGAAAAGGGGAATTATAAAAAAAGGAAAAGGGGGCATGTGTCAAAGGGGCATTTATGAGAAAGGGTTGGGGTTGGGGCTCCTATTAAACAGGACAAGGGGCACATATCAAAAGGTAAAAGGGCACTTGTTAGAAAGTTTAAGGGGGCGCGTGTCAAAGTAAAAAAAAATGAAAGGGCTTTTATCAGATATCACAAGGGGCACTTATGAAAATGGAACAGTGGCACTTATTATGAAGTTAAAGGGGCATTTGTTGAAGAAAAAGGGGCACCTGTCAGATTTGAATAGTGGGTAATTATCGCCAGGGCCGTAGCCAGAGTTTGGGGGGGGGGGGGGGGGGGGGGGGCACATACATGTAATTGATCGACGTCCTGGGGAGGGGTCAAAAAGAGTTCAACCGATCTTGGATTTTTTTTCTTCTTTTTTTTCTTCAATGTATGTGAAAGAATGTGTAGTTTTCTCTCGAGTTTGTCTCATCATGCGTTGGATCTGTGGGTGCTGGGGTTCCTGCAGCAACCCTGTACATGGATTTTCTTCAGTGGGTGCATATAACTCGTGTACTTCACATTGTAAACCTTCAAATGATGAATTATCATCGAGTCCCCCCACCCCCCCCCCCCTTCCCTCATTATTTTAGAAAGAAACCAAAGAGAACTTTTAAGAGAAAAAGAGAAAGGAAAGGAAAAAATGGTAGCTAGGCCTAAACAAAAACAAGATAAAAGAAAACAAGATTGAAGATATGGTATCAATATTATCTTGCTCCTTTCCCTTTTTCTTTTGTCTTCTTTTCATTTCAATTTTCTTGCAATTTCTTTCTTTCTTCCTTGGTATCTATTCCGTATTCTTTATTTCTTCAATTCATTTATTATTTATATATATTTTACTTTTTAACTTTGTTATTCTTCTTTCTAATCCCATTTTTCTTTCTTCCTTTTCTTCCTTATGCAGTTAAGTGAGCATAGATCATAGAAATAATTTAAGTGCAATACACAAGTATTTTATTTTTGATAAATGTCTGTATGTAGGCCTATTCTTGTTATCTATTTTATACAGTTTATAATACTGTATCACATATTCAATACCATAATGCAACCTCTGCTTGTAATATCTAAAAAGCAAACCTAGAACTGATTATTTACCAATTCATGAAAAGAACTAGACTCCCATTAATCTCAGAAAAGTAGGCCTAGGCTACTCACAAATTGCCTATCAAGACTCTTATTTGAAATATATGCTATATATCTTGTCTACCGGTACTGACATTTTGGCATTTACTAGTAATTAAACACAGCATTTCAGAAGCGGATCTAGAGGGGGGTTGGGGGGGGGGGGGTTGCAACCCCCCCCCCCCCCCAAAAAAGAAATCCGGGGACTATTTTTTTAAATCTTATCTTTTTTTTTAAACTTGTAATTTTATTTTATTCTATTTCTATGTATTTATTTCATTTATTATTATTATTATCATTATTATTATTATTATTTCTTTTTGGGGGAGGGGGGGGGGGGTTGGGCGAGCCGAACAAATGTCACAGAGTCCCTTGCCCCCCCCCCCCCATCAGCTTTTTTGAGGACACGGGCCACCGCCGAAGTGACAAGCTAGGCCAGCGTTGCCGATTCTCATCCCCAAAGTGAGTAACATATTTGAATCAGGCGCGGATCTACGGGGGAGTTTAGGGGATTTAAACCCCCTCCCCTTGGGCGCCCCCCCCCCCCCCAAAAAAAAGGGGGAAAAAAAAGAAAGAAAAAAAAGAAGAAAAAAAAAGAAAAAAGAACGCACGCTGGAGAGAAACCCTTTCAAGTGCAAATATTGTGAGAAGATATTCAACTCATCTGGTAACTTAACCAAACACATGATAACTCTGGATATAACTGTGTATTTAACTGTTACTTGATTTAAAAAGACGTTATCATGCACTGCTTTTTATGATCTCCATTGTGTTAATAGATGCCAGGAAAACATCACTTACGGGGTTGAAATAAACACCCCAAAAAAAAATCGGCTCGCCGCTTCGCGGCTCGTGGACGATGCTCTGCATCGTCATTATTGGTCAACCCCCCCCCCCTTAGCAAAAAGCTAGATCCGCCCCTGCATTTATGACTGTATTATCTAAATGACCATGACATTGCTTTTCTATGTCATATTATAGGCCTGCCATTAATCCAACGTACTTGTTACACACGATATTCGATGCTGCGCATGCCTCGATCATACATGAATATTCAAGAGAATCGAGACTTTCCCCGGCCCTGCCTAATGAATATTCATGATAAAACAGGAATCCGGGCTCGCCGTGGTACGAAAAAATAAGACGCACCCGGGCCCCCTTTCTCTAAACTCTCTCTTTCTCTCTCTCTCTCTCTCTCTCTCTCTCTCTCTCTCTCTCTCTCTCTCTCGCTCCGCCCCTCCCTCTTCTCCAATAATGTCAAATTGTCAAATTCTTTCATTCCCATATAAAACCCGGGGGTACTCACGTATTAAGACAAACGGGGGTGTGCCGCTCAGTAATGGGTACCATTTTAAACAAAAATACCCTTAAAACATGGGTCCGCTTATTCAAAAATTGAAGAAGAAAAAATTGAAAATTTTCCAGGTGTTTGGCACCCGAATTTTTTTTTTTTTAAATGGGCTTTGTTTCGAGAAAAATCCGCCAAAGTGAGGTACGGGTACAGGTACGGGTTTCGAGGCTTCAGCGGCACACCACCGTCAAAACCAAATCTCAGTCACCCCCCCCCCCCCTCCCCCCTCCCGGGTAAAACCGTTACTGTAACAGGCCTATACCCGGCCGGCCCGTTCTTGCTCCCCTTTCTCTCATTCACCCCTCCCCTCTCTCAGCCCCCCCCCCCTCCACACACACAAACTCTCTCTTTCCAGATGATTCCTTTTTCTATCACAATTTCCCAGTTAGGTTTTATTATTCAGGCTACCCTTCCCCCCCCCCCCTTATTATTTTGTTCCCCCATTCCACTCACAGGATTATTATTATTATTATTATTTATTTGGCATTTTGTAGAAGGTACAATAGAATGGCAGGCACATAGGATACAAAGTATGAAAGTATAACATTTGATTCCCCTGCTGCACCTCTCGAAGTTGCCTGGAAGAAAAAAAGGAATGAGAAATCTTTTCTTCCGACTTCAGAAAATGCATCAGGGGATGCCTAAAATATTATACATAATCAGATGTTCTGAGATTGTGACGATCAGCACATTTTTCGTAATGTAACCAAAATGTATAAGTGCCACTATACGATTATTTCATTCACCTGTTGCGAATAATTGTATTTCAGTAGAAAGAATGCGATTTGCATAGTTACGTGTTGGAAGGGCAGGCCACAATAGGCCATTTTCGTAATGTAACCAAATTGAATTGACAACTATTTGTGAAGTGCCTCAATACAAGTTATTTCATTCACCTGATGAGAATAATAGTATTTCAACAGTCAGAATGCAAACTGCGTGATATATTAAGTGTTGCTAGGTAGGTCAAACCATAATGTTTGTCCAACCTGGCAGCAACTAATGATTGCATGCAGTTCGGATTCTGTCTATTGAAATACTATTATTCTTTTCAGGTGAATGAAATAATATGTATTGAGGCACTTCACAAAGACTTATGCATTAAATTTGGTTACATTACGAAAATGGCCTATTGTTCTCCTACATACCAACGAATAATAATGTGTGCAATTTGAATTCTGTCTATTGAAAAAACATTTATTCGTTAAACAGGCAGGGAGGTGTCTCAGGTGAATGAAATAATTCGTATCGAGGGGCTAACTATATAATGCACAAATTGTGTTACATTCAGGCACGTATAGCCAGAGTTTGATGTTGGGGGGGGGGGGGGGGGCAGGCACATACATGTAATTGATCGAGGTAAAAAAAAAGGGGGGTTAAAAAGTTCAACCGATCTTGGAATTTTTTGGTGGGCACGCGCCCCCCCCCCCCCCTGTGGCTACGTGCCTGGTTACATTACAAAAATGGCAAATTGTTTGTCCTCGTTTTATTGTAATATCACCTCTCTCTCTCTCTCTCTCTCTCTCTCTCTCTCTCTCTCTTTCTCTGTCTCTCTGTCTCTTCCTCTCTCCCTCCCTCCCCCTCTCTCTCTCATCTCTTTCTCTCTCTCTCTCTTGTCCTAGAAAATGCAATTTAAGTTACTCCATCATATATCTTTGTCCTGGTTTATCTGCTCTGCTTCGTCTATCTCATCAATCAACAAAGGCACGATTAAAAGATGATCAAGATTTGACTTGTTTTTTTATTTGTGATTTACCTTACATTCCAATAAAAAATATATTCTCTTAAAAAATATCATGGTAACATTTTTATAAAAACGATTACGCTACAAGAGTTGAATGCTCCATAAAATTATGCGCAAGAAAACGAGCACAAAACTTGTGGTAGCATGTTGAGCCCCCACCCCCCCCCCCCCCCACCCATCCCATCGATCTCTTCTCTGCAACAAAGCAAAGACACTAACATTTCAGCCGAAAGACATATATTACGGTAACTTAACCACTCAAACTAAATGAATTCTCTACCATTGTGGCTTCCTTCACATAACATCCAGTAAAAAAAAAAAAATTTAATTCTTAATACGAAAAAAGAAAAAAAGACAGCGCTAAGATCAGTGGTAAAAATGAGATGATTTATAAAAAAAGTTGATATAGAAGGTATATTACGAATAACTAGTTAGTACTGCTCTACCATCGAGTATCTGTAGATGATTCCAAGTCCTGCACAGGCCATAATCAGTGCTTACATTCAAATTTAAAATTGAGCTTTAAGTAGAAAAATCAGAACGAAATATATAATAAAATCCAGAAATGCAATTTGTAACCAGTCCTTGCTTATATACACGGCACATAAGAATGTTTGTTTGTTTGTTTTGTTATTTTTGTTTAAATACTTGCACCTTCTAAATATAATAAAATAAATGGATTTTTTACAGATGAAATGTAAACTCCTCGATTTTATAAGTTTATGGTTGCCTCTTGAACGCCTTCTTCATGTTGGACTTCATGTATCGGTCATTGCGGAAATTCGTTTTGGAGCCCAACTTGGCTTGGTCAGCGGCCATCTTGGTCCGAAGCTTGTCCATCTGATCAGCGTGAGGGTTCTGGAGTTTGTTGACCTTTCCTCGAAAGTTTGCCATTCCAGCGCGACGCGCTTGTTCGGCCTCTGCCTTGACGGTCTCGAAGTCCATTCGGCCTCCAAGAAAACCGTTGTCGATGGATTTCAATCTCTGTGGGATTTGTTTTTGTGTTTTTTTTAAAGAAGGACAGAATGGAAAGGAAAGGAAATGGTAAAAGGGAAGAAAAGGAATGGAAAGGAAAAGAAGAAAAGGAAAGGAAAGGAAAAGGAAAAGAAAGGAAATGGAAATGTAAAGAAATTGGAAAAGAAAAGAAAGAAAAGCTCCGGATTAACGATTAGAAGACACGGTACGGTAATGCTAATAATCAATTCAGTTAATGATACATCCCAGAGATACACCCTAAAAATAAATCAACACCTTTATGACTCATCAGTAGTCAGTACCTCTATACAACCAAGCCCCACCTGTTCATCCAAGCGTGAACATAATTACCACACAAAAATGATACAAGACGATTCGGGGATAAAACTCTTTCGAAGCATGTATGATAACCTTTCGTTCACAGGTGAGTGTAAACTTTTTTTTACTCAAACGGTATAGCTAACAATACCTAATCGGTGACCGTTGGTCTCCCATGGTTCCCTTTTTCTTATGTAAATTGAGAGCTGATTTGATGAGATAACCATCTGTCAGTGACCATGCAGGGAGGTAAATCCCTCCTGGCCAAACTAGTGCAGATAGGCTTTAAGTTCTATATGACAGAAATCATCTGTACAAACCTTGCTATGAGACAGAGCAGATACTCCCTTTTTTAATGTCTCGGCTGAGTTTGCTTTTCTGCCCTGTTAATCTGTTTTAAAATCTCTCTGATCCCTACTCCCCGATATTATGTACCAAAACGCTTTGAAATATTATAAGAACATTATCGTCCTAGCATGATATGAGGATCAAACGCATAAAGTAGAAAGGAGGTTATATTGATGTGAGTGGAATATAATGCTTAAACCATAACAAGTACAGCTATATGACGGTAAGAGAGAATGGGGGCGTAATATCACATCACATGAAGAGCTTAATCTTTTTTCAGATAAAAATGTAGATAATGTCCTACCAATTGAGTTTGTGCCAATTGCAAAACATAATAGCAGATGGCTGTCGATCATAATATGCGGGATATCATACACAAAAGTATGTGAATATATCATGACCATAATTTTTCTGGCTATAATAAAAAAAAAACTCAATGTTGGTATACATGTTGTTTTTGATAGGAGAATTGACTGTATACTCATAACTCTAGTTGCACAATCACAATCAAAAATAGAACCCCCCCCCCCCCCAGAAACAAATGACGTGTCATTCTCTACTCACCTCCATTCCGCCCCTAATCTTCTTGGACTGTTCCATGCGACGACGTTCAAAATCAGCCTTGCCGGCATCGACAAAGGCAGCCCCGACGACTGCGAGGACGAGAAGGATGGCGAGGGTCTGACGCATCTTGAGATTCACTGATTCAAGTCTTCTCCGAGAAAGAGAAAAAGAAATTCACGAAGAAAATGGCTGATAAAGTGGCGTATAAGCTTCGTTGTTTATCTCAACTGCGCTTTGCAAATGGCACTTTCCTTCTGTGCCAATATTCGCATTCCACCAAAGGGGTGTTTTCCTCTAAACCATAACAATAGATCTTTTCGACTCTTCGTCGTTTCTGTTCCCGGTTTTGAAGCTGTAGTTCTCGCTCACCAGAGCCTATCCGACAATAAAGCACCCACTGGTCTAGATGAGGACCTTCTTCACGTCCACTGACAGAATTTCTTTCTTTACTCAAAAGACCAGGGTGTGCTTTATAGTATAGATATTTTTTTCAAGGAGCAGATTTAGCTCAGAGTACACAATGTTCATTGGAATGGAAAAATTGAAAGAGATGATGAGAGCCCTTTCTTTGCCATTGCTATTGAATCAGACTTTATAGTTTCGCGTTTGATAAAATACTCCCACACTCAATAGAAATGTGGGGAAGTAAAGGTCGTGTTTTTCGTGTGTGACAACCGTGACAACTGCGTTCATTTCGTTCAAGGATATCAAAGAAAAACAGACTTTTTAAAATGTAATAGTTCTGCGGATCGAGTTTAGTGTTCATATCTATCAGGGGTAAATGTCACAAGAGATGTACGCGCTTTGGGTAACAGACACGAATCGTGCCATAGTGCACCAAGGCTTGTGATAGCGGGGTATTTTTGTTTTGCTCTTTGGATTGTTTTTGTTTTGTTTGGTTTTCTTACAATATCCTATGATCATAATTCTAAACGTGGCACAGTCACTCAATATATCACAGTCTTCCACATAAAAATGATTTAGTGGGTTGGGGATAGGGCCTGTATGCAGAGGCGGCCCTCCCGATGGGGAAGGGGGCAAGGGTTACAGTGCCCTCACTTTTTCAAGTACCCCCAAAGTTTCCTCTTTTTACATACGAAAAGTCCCCCTTTTTACAAGGGAAAAATATCCCTACTACTTTGAAAAATGCCCCTATTCCATTATAAAAATGGTCCTCCCCCTTTTCACCTCTAATAAGTGCCCCTTTTATGTTTACACGTGTCCCTTTTCCTTCGACAATTTTTCCTTTTTTCCTTTGCAATAATTGTCAAATTTTCCATTCTCGTAAGTGTCTTTTTTAATCTCTAGTAAGTGCCCCATTTCAGGTACAAGAAATGCCCCTTTTCACTTTCGAATAGTGCGCCCTTCACCTCTGATAAAAATCCCCTTTTCAAATCTGAGAGGTGCCCTTTTACTTTGTCAAGTGCCCCTTTCCCTTTATAAGCAGTGCCTCTTCCCCTTTTAATAACTACCCTTTTTAACTCAGATAAGCGCACCTTTAATTTTAACATGCACCCCTTTTCCTTTCTAATAAGTGCCCCTTTTCGTTATGATAAGTGCCCCTATTAATAGATAGGAGCGCCTTTCCCTTCTCACAAATCCCCCTTTTCACCTATGAAAAGTATCCCTTTTCATTCTTATAAGTGCCCCTTTTCATCTATGGTAAATGACCCTTTCAGGTAGTGGAAGTTACTCCATTTCACTTCAAATAAGTGCCCCCTTCTCCTCCAATAATTGCTCTTTTCATCTCTGATGAGTGCCTCTTTTCATCTCTGATGAGTGCCTCTTTTCACTTCTAATAAGTAATAACTGCCCCTTTTATTTTGACACGCTCCCCTTTTTCATTTCTAAGAAACGGTATTTTTCCTTCTTATATGTGCCCCTTCCCCTTCTCATAATTACCCCTTATCATCTCTGATAAGTGCCCCGTTTATATTTGACAAGTGAGATTATTTTTCTTTTTAATAAAAGCTACTTCTCCTTTTTCATAAAAGCGCCCTAAATCCTCCGATAAATGCCCTTATTCAGATCTGATCGGTGCCCCTCTTTCAATAATGCAAATTTTCCTTTATTATAGATGCCCCTTTTTCAAATCTTTTCAGGTGCTATAAGTGCCCCTTTTCTCCTCTGGTAAATTCCCTTTTAACAATGATACGTTTATAAATGATATGATTAAGTCACTTATCAAAGTTCATTTCAGTCTTCCGTTATGAGAATGTGCGTATAACCTCATCAGGATCCCCCTCTTTATAAGATGTAATTTTTCGCACCGCGACCTCACACATTTTAAAAATTGTCCTCGCTCGCAAATGAATATTCAGATGTCACACCCAACTGCAATGTACATGTACAATGCTTAAGCAATATATTATTGTATAAGAGAAACAAATATTGAAATCATCCCTGACATGTAATCACAATGTAGAGGTTTATACCAATGTCTAAAACAAATTGTATATTTTCTCTTTAAAAATTGTCCTCGCTCGCAATGAATATTCAGATGTCACACCCAACTGCAATGTACATGTACAATGCTTAAGCAATATATTATTGTATAAAGAGAAACAAATATTGAAATCATCCCTGACATGTAATCACAATGTAGAGGTTTATACCAATGTCTAAAACAAATTGTATATTTTCTCTTTGAGATTTCCCATTATAGGTGCCCTTTTTCCAGAAAGTGCCCCTTTTTGTTGTTGCCCCCCCCCCACACTTTGGAAGTCGCTCGGCCGCCCCTGCCTGTATGCTCTGTTACAACATAATTGGTATAGCAACTGTACACCGTACGTAATATACCCTGTAATAATCAGATTTAGTACATTAGATTGTCCCTATTATACTGGATATGGGATAGCACGTATTTCAGACTTTGCGCGTGATGACGACGTCAAGAACTTTTAGCCAATCAGAATCACGCAATAGGTAGGCTGCTTATTCATTCTCAGACGATTTGTTTTTGGTTCTTGTTGTTGTTGAGTCTAGCGTTATATGGCAATCAATCAAAGTTGAATGATTTGGGAAGGGGCGACTGATGTATCAAAGGACGGGAAATCGAATAAATTGTTATTCTTCATTTCAAATCTAGGGCAAGTCCAAGCTGTGTTGTCCCCGATGTTCGTTAATCTTAATATAGGCCTAGACCGATCTCCTCCCCCTACTTGTCTCTCCCTTTCTCTCTCAGCTCCCCTTCTCTCTCTCCCTTTTTTTGTAATTCTCTCTCTCTATATTTCCTCTCTCTCTCTCTCTCTCTCTCTCTCTAACACTCTTTCTTTCCCTCCCACCAACCATGGTCGCTGCTTCTTTGCGTTTGATTACATCTATTCTTTTTCTTTCAAATGAAGAAATCGAATAAATACCAACAACTAATGTATGCAATTTGAATACTGACTCAAAGTTAAGATACAAATTGTATTCGTAACAGGTAAATAATATAATGCGTATCGAGGTGCTTCACAAACAGGCATATGCACAAATCTGGTTACATTACGAAAATGGCCTATTGAATTGTCCATGTTTATTGTAAAATCTTATACCCCACTTTTTATCTTCCCCCTTCCCCCTCTCTCCCCCCTCTCTCTCTTTCTTTCTCTCTCTCTCTCTCTCTCTCTCTCTCTTCTTAATTTTGCAATTTCTTACCCCTCCATATCTCTTTGTCCTGGTTTATCTGCTCTACTTCGTCTATCTCATTAATCAACATATCACCAAAGGCACGATTACAAGATGATCAAGATTTGACTTATTTTTATTTGTGATATACGTTTACATTCTGATAAAAAATATATCCTACAAACAGATATGTTAATAAAAAACGATTAAACTATAAGAATTGAATCTAAATAATTTCACAAGAAAACATGGACAAAACTTATGGTACATCGTTTAGTCTCATTTCACAACGCCCCCTATCGTCAGAGCATGGTCAGATTCAGCAGCCTAACATGTTAGCCTATGGAAGTTTTTTTTTTAAATCGTTAAAAATTCATTTTTTGTTTAAACGAAAAGCACATCCACCCCGACGTACGTTATCACTAGCTCTTTCATTGGAGCCCTCATGTCTCATTGACTTTTGAAAGTTCACCCACCGTAATTTTTCAAAATAGGTTGCAAGCTCGTCATTGCCTATAATACACATGTGAAACAAGTCTAACTTTGGACTCAGTTTACCAAGCGATCTGAAGATTATAGGTCGAGCACACGAAACATAAAAAGCATGAATTATCATAGATCACTTCTGCCTATTTCGTTTTGTCCATTTCATCCAACCCCCCACCGTAATTTTTCCATTTAGTAAAAACAAACATTTTGCCGAGTTTAGCAAAAACATGAATATTCATGAACGGTCAGACAATACAGCCTTTTAGAACGTAACGTATAGTGAATGGAATGTGCGATGATCCGTGTAGGAGGTAGAGGTCAGTGGTTTGTGCTGGCAATGTTCACGCGAGCGAAAATGAGACAATCGGAGCAATATGACATTTTGAGCCCCCACCCCCACGCCATCCGTCCCTTCTCTGTAACGAAGCAAATATACTAATATACTTATGGTAACTTAATTACTAAAACTAAATGGATTCACTCCCCTAGCGCCTTCCATCCCTTTAACTTTCACTAACAATTAAATTAAGAATGATAATTCTTGGCTTTAAAAAAAAAAGGGGGGGGGGGCAGACCGCGCTCAGATCCGTGTTAAAATGAAGGAAAATGTATTGAAGTACGATTGAAAATGTATAATTACGAATAACTATATAGTAATGCTCTTAATAACATCGAGTTACGAATTTCTAAAGTTGATTCCAATTTCTACACTGTACATAATAAGTGCCTACATTCACATTTAAGCTTGAACTTTAAATCGCGGAACCAATTTATACTCCTATACAGGTTTATGTTCGCTTCTAAAACGCCCTCTTCACGGTGGATTCATCTCTAGATCGGTCATTACGGAACTTTATTTGGGAGCCTAGCCTGTTGGCGGCGCCGCCATCATAGACAACTTGGCTTTCCCAGCAGCCTTCTTGGTCCGAAGCTTGAAAATCTCTTTAGCGCTATTAGGGCTCTGCAGTTTGTTGATCTTCCCTCGAAGGTTCTTTATTCCAGCACGACGCCCTCTTCCGGCCTCTTCCTGGACCCTGGGAATGACCATTTGGCCCCCAGCGCGACGCCCTCTTCCGGCCTCGTCCTGGACCCTCCATGTGTTGTCGAAGGATTTCACTCGCTGTGGGATTTGTTTTTGTGTTTTTTTTAAAAAAAAGGAAAAAATGGAAAGGAAAGTAAAAGTGAAAAAGAAAAAAATGGAAATGTAAGGAAAAGAACAAGGAAATAAAAAAAATTAACGAAACGAAAAGAAAAGAAACGAAAAGAAAAGAAGATGCAAAGAAAAAAATGGAAAAGAAAAGAAACAAAAGATCCGGATCAAACAATTGGAAGACATAGTAATGCTAATAATCAATTATTTTATGATGCATCCCAAAGATACACCCTAAACATAAAACAACACCAATTGCTCAATATAGTCAGTACCTATATACAACACATTTATAGTGTTTTAAAAAGATTTTAAGTTCTGTGACAGAAATCATCTGTAAAACCGTGACATGAGACAGAGCAGAAAACTCCCTTTTTTTGTTAATGTCTCGACTGAGTTTGCTATTCTGCCCTGTACATCTGTTTTAAAATCTCTTTGATCCCTACTCCTCGATATTATGTACCAAAAACGCAGTGAAGTATTATGAGGGCATAGTCCTAGCATGATATGAGGATCAGACGCATAAAGTTGGAAGGATGTTATATTGATGTGGGTGAAATATAATGCTTACACCATGGCAAGTACAGCTATATCGGTTAGAGAGAATGCGGGCCTAATATCACATCCAGGGGCGGATCCAGCCGCGGCAGAGGAGGGGGGCCCAATTCGTGAGAAAATATTTAGCGGCGAAACAGCCGGCCGATAATTCGCTCAGTGGGGGGGGGGGGGGGGGGGGGGGGGGTGGGGGTGGGGTAGTGAGCACTAATCTCTTCTTTTTGGCCCTCGAAAATTTGAACAATCACACCCCCCCCCCCCCCCGCGTTGAGTGCAGGGAAGGGGGCCCTTCTCCAAAAAAAGGTAAAAATTAACAGGGTTTTTTTACACATTTTTTCCCTAGGGGTGGGGGCCTGGGCTCCACGCCCCCTGGATCCGCCACTGATCACATCATAATTATGGAGAGGAAATTCTCTTTTTTCAGATGAAAATCTAGATACATGTAGATAAAGTCCTACCAATTGTGTGTGCCAACTGCGAAACATAATAAGACATGGCTGTCATGCGGGATATACGGTATAACACAAAAGTATAATGACAATTTTCTGGCTATAATAACAAAACTCGCTTTGTTGGTATACATTTTGTTTGTAATAGGAGAATGTTTATAATTATATTGTAAGCATATACTCATGACTCAAGTTGCATAATCACAATTGAAGATTGCATTTTTTCCCAGAAACATATTAATGACGTGTCATTCTCTACTCACCTCCATTCCGCCCCTAATCTTTTTGGACTGTTCCATGCGACGACGTTCAAAATCAGCCTTGCCTGCATCGACCAAGGCAGCCCCGACGACTGCGAAGACGAGAACGATGATGATGGTCTGACGCATCTTGAGAGTTTAACTGATTCAAGTCTCCTCCAAGATAGAGAATAAGAAATTCACGAAGAAAATGGCAGATAAAGTGGCGTAAAAGCTTCGTGTTTATCTCAACTGCGCTTTGCAAATGGCCCTGTACTTCTGTGCCAATACTCGATGTAAAATGTGAAATAAATACAATTTCAAAACTTCAAACTTCAGACAATAGATCTTCGTCTTTTCTGTTCCATGTTTTGAAGCTGTAGTTCTCGCTCACCAGAGCCTAGTCTGACAATAAAGCACCCACTGGTCTAAATGAGGATCGTCTCCACGTCCGCTAACAGAATTTCTCTCTTTACTCAAAAGACCAGGGTGTGCTTTACAGTACAGATATTTTTTTCAAGGAGCAAATTTATTGGAATTGAAAAATTGAAAGGGAAGATGAGGGCCATTTCATTGCCATTCCTATTGAATCAGACTTTATAGTTTCGCGTTTGTATAAATACTCCCACACTTTATAGAAAGGTCGTGTTTTTCATGTGTGACAAGCATGACAAGTGCATTCATTTCGGTCAAGGAAATAAAATAAAAACAAACTTTAAAAAATGTAATAGTTCTATGGATCGAGTTCATTTTTTATAACTATCGGGGGCCAGGGGGTAATGTCACAAGAGATGAAAGCGCTTTTGGTAACAGACACGAATCGTGCCATCGTGCACAATGACATGATAGGGGGGGGGGGGGGGGGGTATTTTTTTATTTTTTTTTTGGATCGTTTGTTTATGTTTTTGTTTTGTTTTAACAAACCATTTCTCACAACATCTTGTGATCATGATTCCAGCGATGCACAGTCACTATATCACAGTCATCCACATGATAACGATTTATTGGGTTGGGGATATCAGTATACACCCGTTATACCCGACGGTGGCATATACTTTTATAGCGAAGAAGAAGAAGAAGGGACCTGTATACTCTGTTCAAAGATAATTTGTATAGCAAATGTATGTCGTACTTTACTGATATGCACTGTAATAATCAGATTGAGTTCACTTGACTTGAATTGTCCCTATATTACTGGAAATGGGTTAGCACGTATTTCAGGCTTTGCGCGTGATGATGACGTCAAGAACTTTCAGCCAAACAGAATGACGCGAGGCTGCAGATATTCTCAGACGATTTTCTTTTCTTTTTTTTTTTTTTTTGGGGGGGGGTTTCTTGTTGTTGTTGAGTCAGCGTTATATGGCAATCAATCAAAGTTGAATGATTTGGGAAGGGGCGACTGATGTATCAAAGGGACGGGAAATCGAATAAATTGTTATTCTTCATTTCAAATCTAGGGCAAGTCCAAGCTGTTTTGTCCCCGATGTTCGTTAATCTTAATATAGGCCCAGACCGAACTCCTCCTCCCTCTACTTGTCTCTCATTTTCTCTCTCAGCTCCCCTTCAAAAAAAAAAAAAAAAAAATTCCCATGGCCGACCTCAAAAAGATGACCTTACCCCCCCCCCCCAGCGGAGCAAAATGTCAAATTTTTAAATTCCGATACCAACAAAAAAAAAAAAGTTTCCCCCCCCCCCCCCCCCCCCACTGAGCGACTTTTCGGAAGGCTGAGTCGTTGCGATTTTTTTTTTGGACTACCAAAAAAAAAAAAAAAGTGTCCCTTACCCCCCCCCCCCCACTGAGCGACTTTTCGGAAGGCTGAGTCGTTCGATTTTTTTTTGGACTACCAAAAAAAAAAAAAAAAGTGTCCGCATACCCCCCCCCCCCCCCCCCTCTCCCCCCCCCCCCCCCCCCCCCCCCCCCTCCCAGAGCGACTTTTCGGTTGGCTGAGTCGTTCGATTTTTTTTTGGACTACCAAAAAAAAAAAAAAAAAGTGTCCGCTTACCCCCCCCCCCCCCCCCCCCCCCCCCCCCCCCCCCCCCCACTGAGCGACTTTTTTTCGGCCGGCGCGATTTTCAAATTTTCGGGAGCAAAATATTTTGGGCCAGATTTTAAACCCCCCCCCCCCCCCTTGAAAAAATCCTGCGTATGCCCCTGGAGCTAGGAATAACAAAATTCAGTTTGTTTAAAGTAGTGCTTGCATTTCATTATTTGATTAAATTTAATAAATTTGAATTCGTTTTCACTGGCTGCCTGCCGTATCAACAAACGAAATTAACAAAAGACTTAACTCCGTTTCGTTGACAATCAGCCGTAGACGAAAGACTTCATGCATGTCTGATTGTCAACGAAACAGAGTTAAGTCTTTTGTCAATTCTGCTTTTTGCTACGGCAGGCAGGCAGTGAAAACGAATTTGTTTTGCTAAAATTATGAACATGTAAGGGCTACTTTAAAAAAAACAGAACTTTGTCATTCCTTGCTCATTTTTCCTGATTGAGGTGTCATATGAAAGGGCAGAAACCCAACTTTCTAGAAATATGATTTTCTTTTTGAAATTCAGATATGCGTGAAATATGCATCATATGAGTTGCATCAAAAGAAAGAAGAGGATCTAAGCTTTCTAAATATGTGTCATTTATTAATTATAAATGTGATTAAGTTATGATAAAACATCGATAATTCTCGGTTTCGTTTTTTCTGGGACGCACTGTACACTGTAAAAATCAGAATAAGTTCACTTGACGTGAATAGTCCCTATATTACTGAAATTGGTTAGCACGTATTTCAGGCATTGCGCGTGATGATGACGTCAAGAACTTTCAGCCAATCAGGAACATGTGAGGCTGCATATATTCTCAGACGATTTTTGGTTGTTGTTGCTGTTGTTGAGTTCAGCGTTTTTGAAAATCAATCAAATTTGGATGATTTGGGAAGGGGCCACTGATGTATCAAAGGGACAGGAAATTGAATAAATTTTTACTCTGCATTTCAAATCTAGGGCAAGTCCAAGCTGTTTTGTCCCCGATGTTCGTTACCGACGACATCTAAGATTTCAGTAGGCCAATACCTGAGAAAAGGTATCAAGCTGATGGCCCTATACTTGAGCTTGAATCAGACTCCACATCCAATGAAATTATATATTTTTCATCCTAATTTATTTCTACAATACATTTATTGGTAGCGTGTGGGACGTACATGGGACATGCCCGTACATGGCCGTATATTATGTGATCTTTATGATATGTGCTGAATTGTTTTTTTCAGTTTGACAGAGCCTCTATAGTCTATAGTCTCTCTGCTTTTTCTTCCAAGCCAGGAGCGTTTTTATAAAGAGTCTCTCTGTCAATGTATAGACCGATCTCCTCCCCCATTCATGTCTCTCACTTTTTTCTCTCTGCCCCTTCTCTCTCTCTCCTTTTCTCTCTCTTCCCCCTTTCTCTTTTCACTCTTTCTATCCCTATCTCTCACTAGGGTCGCTCCTAATTCTTTGCGCTCGACTACCTCCATTCTTGTCATTTCAATTGAAGAAATCAAAGAAAGAAAAAAAATTCTATAAAAACTGCTCATAAGTGCGTCACGCCCTAACAAAAAAAAGCCACGTTTTATGTATATATTAAATAACCCTCTCTTTCTCTCTCCCCCCCCCCCTCTCTCTCTCTCCCTCTCTCTCTCTTCTTAATTTTGCAATTTCTTACCCCTCATATCTCTTTGTCCTGGTTTATCTGCTCTGCTTCGTCTATCTCATCAATCAACATAATCATCAAAGGCACGATTACAACATGATCAAGATTTGACTTATTTTTATTTGAGATTTACACTTACAACACAATAAAAAATATCTTATCAACAACAAAAAATCAATAAAAACGACTAAAGTATAAGAGTTGAATCGATAAATGCACAAGAAAAAACATGGGCGAAACTAACATTTTGAGCCACCCCCCCCCCCCCTATCTGCAACGAAGCACATTTACATTTCAGCCGAAAGACATTCATATGGTAGCTAATTACTCAAACTAAATGAATGCTCCCCCTTTGCGCCTTCCATACCCATCCACTGAAAATTTTTAATTCTTGATACAACAAGGGGGGGGGGGGGGGGGGGGGGGGGGGGGGGGGGGGGGGGAGAGACGGCGCTCAGATCTTCAGATCGTGTTCAAAATGAGAATATTTATTGAAGTATGATTGGACATGTATAATTACTAATAACTATTAAGTACTGCTGTTAAGAACATCGAGTTTCGAGTTTTTCCCAGGTTGATTCCAATTTCTGCATTGTACATAATTCATTCCCCAATCACATTTCAACTTGAACTTTAAATCGGAAAATCAGAACAAAATATATATTAAAAAACAGAAATGCAACTTTTACTTAGTCTTCCCTAATGCGAATGTTTGTTTTTTAGTTTTTGTTATGATTTTACTACACCTTTTTTGTTGTCTTTTTTTTTTACAGAGCCGCGGGGCTAATTTAAACTCCTAGACAGGTTTATTGTCTTTTCTGAAACGCCCCTCTCATGTTGAACTTCATCTCTCGGTCATTATGGAAATTTAATTTGGGAGCCCAAGTTGGCTTGGTCAGCAGCCATCCTGGTCCGAAGCTTGACCATCTGATCAGCGCTAGGCCTCTGGAGTCTGTCGACCTTCTTTCACTTTCAAAGGTTCTCCTTTCCAGCTTGTTCGCGTTCTTTGTGTTTTTTCCTGGACCCTCTAGATATCCATTCGGCTTCTGTTTGTTGAGGGATTTCATTCTTTGTGGGGTTTTAAAAAAAAATAAGAAAGGAAAGCAGAATTAAAAGAAAGAATGGAAATGAAATGAATGGAAAAGAAAAGAAACAAAGAAAAGAAACGAAACGAAAAGAAACAAAAAGAAACGAAAAGAAAAAAAAAGGAAAAGACAAGAAAAGAAAAGAAAAGAAAGGGGAAAAGAAAGAAACGAAAAGAATAGAGAAGAAAAGAAACGAAAAGAATAGAGAAGAAAGAAATGTAAAGAAATGTAAAGAAAATGTGAAGAAAACGAAAGAAAAGAAAGAGAAAGAAAAGAAGATAGAAAAGAAAAGAAAAGAAAAGAAAAGAAAAGAAAAGAAAAGAAAAGAAAAGAAAAGAAAAGAAAAGAAAAGAAAAGAAAAAGAAAAGAAAAGAAAATGTAAAGAAAAGAAATCGGGAAGGAAAAGAAACAAAATATTCAGATT